AATCCACCGGGTCATATAGTTTGGCATGTAGGCCAGGTCACCTTGGGCTTCTCTACCTGGGGCAGCCTTAATCCACATCACTAGGACATACCTCATCATGTTGTGAGAACTAAATGAGATGCAGGAGCTGTTTGGAAGCGGCTGGCACTCAGTGAGTGCCATCTAAGACTTGATATTAGTGATTAACTATTTTTACAGTTACTGCCTGTTTCTGGCAAGTGACTCTGGTTTCTGTTACAGTGGTGGTGTAAAAATTCCTTCCTGTTACATTGATTTGTTTTAAAGGTATATTTAAGGAAGAATATTAATTAAACAATAGTTTTGCTGGTTTAAAGAGCTGTCTCCAAATGGTCATGATAGAGGTCAAATGGCAGAGGGGTGGGAAACCCAGCCCACAGATCAAACCAGAAGCTCCTTATTATGGCTTTCCAAGTGACCTGGACAGAGAGCCTTGGGGAGCGTCCAGCTCACCCCCGGACTGGCCCACAGGCAGGGCTGCTGCTGCTCTGGGCCGAGGCCCCAGAGATTCCGGGTCATCCACACCACCAGCCAGCCCAAATCTCATCTACACCTGCCTTCCTGAGCCGCCCAGGCAGCAGGGTTCTCTGTAGGGAGTCCCAGCCCCTGGCCTCCTTAGGGCCTGAGTCTTGGCCTCCTGGGCTGCCACCTGGTGGTCACAATTGAGAACAACATCTCAACCCATCCGTGTCCGGAAAAGTCCCTGGAGACCTGGTCCCTGGGGGCCCATGGGTGGCCCCACTGTTGGGTCTTCTGGTGGGAGGGTGAATATGCCTCTCCAGAGCCCTGGGGCCTCAGTAGTCCCCTGAGCAGACGCCCTCTGCAGCCTCTGCCCTCTCTCAGGGGCTCACAGGCATTGGTTCACTTGTTCATTCATTCATTCAGCCGGTCCTGAATACCCACCTGTGCTGAGGCCCCAGGGGGAGGACAGGAGAGATGCTCTCTGCCCTCGTGGGTTTACGTCGTAGATGGGGAGGCACAGAAACCAGGGGTAAGTGTATCCCATCGGGACAGTGTAGCTGGTGCTGTGAAGAGAATGAAGCGGATGAACAGATGTGAAGGGTGCGTTGCCTATAACAAGGGTGGTGGGGGAGGCCTGGGAGGAGGTGACACCTGAGCAGAGGTGTGAATCCAGTGAGGGGAGCCATGCTGGGATATGGGAGAGGCGCCTTCCAGGCAGAGGGGCAACCGTGCGAGGTCCTGAGGTGATGTTCTGGGGCTGCGGCTAAGTAGCAAATTTTCCTAAAATTTAGCAGGTTAAAACAGCCATTTAAATTTTGCTTACAATTTTGTGGGTCAGGAATTGGGGAAGGGGCTCAGTTGGGTGCTTCCCACTGAGTGCCTCATGCTGCTGTCAGACGGCAGCTGGGACTGGCTATCTGGAGGCTGGCCCAGATTGGCCGTTCCTGCGGCTCCCTCCCACTGGGGAGCTCAGCAGGGAGGTTGCCCTGAGCACCTCCACATGGCACGCCTCAGCCTGGGGACCCAGGGCACTCGGACTGCTCCCACGGAACCCCGACCACGTTCTGTTGGTTACCCGAAAACTGATAAGGCTGGGCAGGCTCAGGAGGTGGGGCCACACCCCAGCCTCACTTGGAGAAGCAAGATTTGCCAGCATGTTTTTAAACCATCACAGGCGTGAACACGCACTCCTTGAACAAGGACCAGCAAGGAGGCTCTGGGTGGACGAGAGTGGATGGGAGAAGTGGAGGAGGCAGAGAGGCAGACAGGGGTCCCTGTCCCCAGTGCATCCTGGCTGCGTGTGGGCTCCTCTCAGCACCAGCCACAGCTGTGTCGCTGGTAGGCTGTGGGCGGCGGGGACCGGAAAACAGGCTGGTGCTGTCTCTGGGGGAGGTGCTGGGTGTGGACCAGGGTGTGGTGGTCCCAGGGTCCAGGCTATGTTTTGAAGGTAGAGGGGTCAGGGCAGCTCAGGGAAGGTATCTGGTGCCCAGGGTGGCAGAGTGACAGGAGGGGAAGGACGGGAAGGTGGGAGCAGGCTGATGATCCAAGGGACAACACTACTGCCTGGCTTAGGAAGGTCAGCTGGACATGCTGGTGACATGGCAGAGATTGGGGTCTAGTGTGGCCTGGATTGGGAGTCCCAGTTGGGCAGGGCTGGGCTGTGTGCTGCTGGTTACCAAGCGGTGCTAGGAGGAGAGAGTGGCCAGGACAGCAGCAGCCACTAGCTAGGGGGCGACCACCAGAGAAACTAAGGCAGACACTTGCTGGCTGAAAAGTGACAGGCCCTGTCCAGCAGCAGGAGCCCCAGGGCTGAGGCCCCAGGAGGCGCACATTGTGAGACAGGGCTTGGCTTGCAGTTCCTGCCCACCTTTCTTTTTTATTTATGTATTTTCTGTGTGTGAGGAAGATTCACCCTGAGCTAAAATCCATTACCAATCCTCTTTTTTTTGCTTGAGGAAGATTGGCCCTGAGCTAACCTCTGTGCCAGTCTTCCTCTGCTTTGTATGTGGGGTGCCTCCACAGCGTGGCTGATGAGTGGAGTAGGTCTGTATCTGGGATCCAAACTCACGAACTCCAGGCCGCTGAAGTGGAGCGCAGGAAACTTTAACCACTCGGCCACGGGGCTGGCCCCCCGGCTGCCTTCCTTTACTCCTTAGTTTTTAAATTTTATTTACTTTGCTTGTTCATGGATCAAAATTCAGAAACACCAGAGTTTTTTTTATTGAGGTGAAATTCGCATAACATAAAATTAATCATTTTAAAGTATACAATTCCATGGCATTTAGTACACTGACAATGTCAAAAGCACCAGAGACTTACAGTGAAGTCTCTTTCTTCCTCATCTCTCCCAGGCCCTTGTGTGTCCTTCAGAAATAGTTCATGCCCAGATCTCTCTCTAAGTATATGTCTGTATATATGTGTGTACATGTGTATGTATGTTTGCATATATTACTTTCATTTCACAGCTGAGGAAACTGAGGCACAGAGAGACTAAGTTACTCACCCAAGCACACACAGCCACTGAGTGATATAGCCAGAGTTTGAACCTACCAGTCTACCATATTTAACAACTGTGAGATTCTCTTTTTTTAAAATAGCTTGTACAATTTTTTAAAAATTAAACTTTATTTTGGGATACTTGTAGATTCATGTGAAAGAAATAATACAGAGAAACCCTACGTGCCCTGTTGTCCCAGTGGTAACATCTCACAAAACTATGGTAAATATCTCAGCCAGGACACTGGCATCGATACAAGCCACCCACCTCGTTCAGTACCATGTTTAACAAATAATTTGAATTGGCTGCAAACATTTAAAAAGAAAGAGATTTTACAAGACCTGTCAGGTTTCTGTCTTCTTTTGAGCAGTCAGATGACAAGGCGCCCCCAGAAGCAAATCCTGAGAGGCTTGAGTCCAGGCAGTTTGTTGAGGGCTGTCTGTTCTGGGAGCGGGGAGGGGGCGGGGGAGGGAAAGCGGCCCGCCGAGGTTGGGGGCGGGGTGCGATACCCACCAGGGGCGGCTCAGCCCAGCCCTGCTGGGGACTCTGGAGACAGAGTAGAACACTGCCCAGAGTTACGGCCCACCCCCACCGCTGACAAGGGGCGAGGAAGCAGGTACTTACCCCCAGCCCCCATCTGTTGCTGGCCGAGGGCTGCTCCCGGGCAGGTGGGGAGGGGGCTGTCGATTCTCCAGCCCTCCCAGCGCCTCTGAGCCAGAAGCGCAGGCACCGGGTCACCTGGAGCAGCCCTGGAGCAGAGAGATGCAGGCGCTGGCCGCTGGTAGACAAGGCTGCGTGCAGTGTAGGCCCGGAGGGCGGGGGTGGGGGATCCGGGTCTGCAGCCAGGACTCCCGTCCCGGGGCCTACAACAGGGCCTGGCGTGGGAAGGTGCCCGGTCGATGGTGCTGGAGGATGGAGTGAGTGCGTGAGCGCCAGAGCGCAAGCACGAGGGCGCTGGGCGCTCAGCAGTCAGCAGCCCCCGCTGGGGAGGGGCGCCCGCCTCGCTCGTGTCCTCACTGTTCTCCCGCAGTGAGAACAAGAGCAGCCCGGAGGGTGGCTAGAGCCGGACTTCTGGGTTCCCAGAGTTCAAATCCCAGCTCCGCCCATGACTAGCTGCGTGGCCTTGGGCAAGCCCCCTCATCTCTCTCAACGTCGGTCTCCACAACCGTAAAATGGGACAGTGAGCCCCACAGGCCGAGAAGAGGACAGCGTGGACTGGGTCACGTGGCTGGCTCGGCAGCGGTAACACGGGAAAGGGGTGGCTGCTCTTTCCACCTTTCCGCGCAGGCGCTGCGCTGGCGCTTACACAACCAATTTGCGTCTCCGCAGCCTGATGGGTTAATTACCACCCACTTGTGTGTATTGGGATGGGTCCCAAGGCCACAGGGCTGGTCAGGAGCTGAGCTGGTTCACACCCAGGTGGGTTGCTTCCGCGGACAGCCAGGATGGACTCCAGCCACTTCCTGGCTGTGTGTGTGAGACCTGGGCCTCCGTGCCCTATCTGTAGAACAGGGCTAAAGGGAAGCACTTTCTGGAAGATTGTTGATGGGACTGAGGATGAGGGCCATCTCCGGGGGTGGGGCGGAGCAATGTGCACCTCAGTGGGAGCCAACAAGGATACACCTGTTGCTGAGTGGGCTCCAGGCCAAGGGAGAAGTGGCACAGGGGACACTCTGTGCTTTCTGCACAGAGCCCGACCTCTGGGCCAGGTTCAGTATCACACGGCTCCTCTTCAAGACCCAAACCCCAACATCACCTCCTGTGTAACTCCCCGCCTCCACGGCCAGAGCAAACCCCAACACTGGAGCCCCGCCAGCTCTCCAAAGTTGCGTCCTAGAGAACACAGCAGCCCCTCAAAGCCAACACCCCACCAAGAGGACAAATGGGCCTCCACCTGGCCGCCTCCCCTGCATGAAGCCTGCACCCCCCCCCAAGTCAACACCTCAGGCTGCCAGCCTAGAGCCAGTGACCCTGTGACCTTCTGCAGGCCCTGGGCCCAATGAGGGGCTGGAGGAGGTGGCCCTGGGGTGGGAGGTCCCCGCCCACCTGGACCTTGACTGCCCAGTCTCTTCCTGGCCTCCCCACAGAGCTAACCTCCATCTCAGCCTCCGCTAGACATGTCCAGTCTTCAGGCACTGTGCTCCGGCCTGCCCCTGTGGCCTCTCCCCGAGAACCGGGGCCGCCAGGCTGGGGTGCCACATGCCCCCGTCAGGACCCCACGCCTCAGCCCTGCTGAGGAGCAGGTAAGAAGTTGGGCCCCATTCCTGTGGGGACCTTTGCTCTCTGGGTGGTCCCAGTGGGGTTCTCTACTTCCTGCTCTCTCTGCAGGAGCTGCAGCTCCTCAACTCAACGCCCCCCACCCCCGCCCTCCAGGAGCTCCCAGTGCGGGGGCAGTGGGGTGTGGACCAAGGTGTCCCAGACTCCATCACACCCCATATCCCTCATTCTCTCCCCAATGGCCCCCCCTTCAGGGCGGGATTACTGTCCCCATTTATTCATGAGGACCTGAGGCTCCAGGTCACTCAGCCAGTCAGTGGTGGCCCTGTGGGGGCCTCCAGTCGGAGGAGTGGGGGGCCGGTGTGCAGTGCCGAGAAGGCACAGCAGCCCACCGCGAGCCCTCCTGCCCCAGACAGCCAGGACCGTGCAGCTGTACCCGTAGCAGGGCAGCTCTTGTTTCCGTTTGTGTCCCTCCCCTCAAATCTTCAAGGTCTTTTGCAGCTGCGGGGCAGCACCAGTGGGGGACGGATGAAATGAAGTGGGTGACCCATTATAGAAATAGTTCTCGCCTTTTCCTTTACTAAAAATTACTCAGGAAGTTTGGGGGCTGGCCGGTGGCCCAGTGGTTAAGGTCGTGTGCTCTCCTTCCCCAGCCCAGGGTTTCCTGGTTCGGATCCTGGGCGCAGACATGGCACCACTGGTTAGGCCATGTTGAGGCAGCATCCTACGTGCCACAACTAGATGGACTCACAACTAAAATATATAACCATGTACTGGGGGAATTTGGGGAGAAAAAGCAGAAAAAAAAAGATTGGCAACAGTTGTTAGCCCAGGTGCCAACCTTTAAAAAAGAAAGATTCCTCAGGAATTTCAGGAACAATGGGAAAAAGAAAATACAAATAGCACAAAGATGAAAAGAGGAGTCCCACCACTCCTGATAAACACTGCTTCGCTTCCGGTGGCTGCCCCCCTAGTCTGTGCGCGGGAGTGGGCGCTGAGGAAGGATGGAAGGAGCGCTGGGGAAGGGTGGGGGTGGGGCGGGAGGCGCTGGGGCGGGGTGGGTGTGGGGGGCCCCCTCGAAGAGTGCGGGTGGGGGCAGGGCGGGGGGGGAGGAGCCGGGGGCGGGGCGGCGTGGGTGTGGGGGCGCTAGGGAAGGATGGGGGCGGGGCGGGGGGGGGGGGGGTGGGGCGTTAGGGAAGGGAAGGGGCGGGGGGGGAGTAGGGGCGCTGGGGGGGGGGGGGGGGGGGCTGTGGGGGTGGGCTGGTGTAGGTGGCGCTGGGAAGGATGGGGTGGGGTGGGTGCAGGGGGGCTCTGGGGAAAGGTGTGGGGGCGGGCCGGGGTGGGGGGGCGTGGGGGGGTGGGGCCGCGGTGGGAGGCGCTGGGGAAGAGTACGGCCCCTCTTGCATGGTCCTTCCGACCGGCCTCAGCCTGGTCAAAGCCGTGGTTATATTTCTCCCCCTTGATCACCTCCCTCCTAGGCGTTAACGCCTCTTCCTCAGGTCCCCGGGGGACGAGAGCTCTGCCACCTGCACATCTCAGATGTGTGATGTTGTGTTGTGCTGGGAGGAGGGCACTGAGGAGCTGGGCCACCTGTCTTTGTCCGTGTACGTCGGCGTTTGCTTGAAGGGCAGAAGCCCTCGGAGTAGGGGTGACTTGTTGGTCTGGGGAGTTTGAGCTGTTGAAGGGCTAAATCTCCATGGGTGCTGGCCTCAGCCGGCCTTCAGCTCGGCCTGTGAAATAAGATAGGTATGTAGATGGTGACTCTGCCTGCCCTCCCTTTCTACTGGTACTTGGTCTTTGATCCTGGTTTCTGACACAGGGCTCCTAAATCCTTAGGAATTTCCTGGGTGGTAGGAGTGTCTTTTGTTCTAGAGAGGCCGCTCTCGGCGGGCTCCTGGATGGGGGCTGGTGGCCAGAAAGACCAAGCCATGATTAGAAGTTTGGACAGGTCAGCCCCACCCCCCCATCCTCCAGAGAGGGGACAGGGGCTGGAAATGGAGTTAATAATTGATCACACCTACCTGCTCAAGCCTCCATTACCTATGGGGGTGGAGAGCTGAAGAGGGCATGGAAGCTCTGGAGAGGCCTAGGAAGAGACTGAGCCATAATTTGGACCCAGGAAGTCTGGCTCCAGTTCCTACTAGAACTGGCCTAATGAAGGCTGGGCCAGAGCGGGTGCAGGGATGGGGTGATTCAAACAAGGCCAGGCCAATTGGATCATGGCCATCATTTTCGGCAGAAATAGTGACAAAAACTTTCAGGTGGATGAGGTTTGCCCCACAAGCACGCAGCCAGGTTAGAATGAGAGTAAGGCATAGGCCAAATTCTCTCTCTCACACACACACAGTGTACACACACACAGACACTTGTCTGTGAGCTAAACAGAGTCATAGGCCAGTATCCAAGGTGGTCAGCCACCACACAGGAAGGGTTTGCTCATGGCAGGAGAAACCTTCTTCCCAAGGCAGGATTCTGTTACTGAGTCAGTCTCCTAGGGCTGCGGTAACAGCCCACCACAGCATGGTGGCTTTCAAGTATCGCTCTTGTGTTCCCTTACAACTCTGGGTGTTGAGAATCTGAAATGGTTTCACTGGGTTAAAGGCAAGAAGTATTAGTGCAAATGCAGGCATGTTGAAATCATACTTGTTCTTTTGCTTCCCCTGTTGGGTCTCGTGATTCTCATTTTTTGGCACAAATATTACATATCAGATTGTCCTAGTTTATGTTTTAAAAGTTCATAATCTATTTTTAGTAGCATTAAGTATTTTATAAAATGTCAAGTTAGAAAAGTATATGCAGGGCCGGCCTCACGGTGCACCGGTTAAGTGTGCACGTTCCACTTCAGTGGCCCTGGGTTTGCCGGTTCGGATCCTGGGTGCGGACATGGCACCGCTTGGCAAGCCATGCTGTGGTAGGCGTCCCACATATAAAGTTGAGGAAGATGGGCATGGATGTTAGCTCAGGGCCAGTCTTCCTCAGCAGAAAGAGGAGGATTGGCAACATATGTTAGCTCACGGCTAATCTTCCTCAAAAAAAAAAAGGAAGAAAGAAAAGTATATGCAGCAGAGCTGCGTTCCTTCTGGAGGCTCTGAGGGGAGGATCCCTTTGCTTGCCTTTTCCAGCTTCCCAAGGCCACCTGCACTCCTTGGCTTCTGGCCTCTTGCTCCACCTTCAAAGCCAGCAGCATAGCAAATTCACATCTCTCTGGCTCTGAGCCTCCTGCTTCCCTCTTGGAAGGATTCTTGTGGTTGCATAGGGCTGACCTGGATAGTGTGGGATCATCTCCCAACTAGAAATCCTTGGCTTAATCACACCTGCAAAGTCTCCTTTGCCGTGTGTTGTGACATATTCATAGGTTCTGGGGAATAGGACGAAGACAGCTTTGGGGGCCGTTATTCTGCGCACCATACCATCAGGAATTCTCCAACCCAATGGCTGAACATGGGACCTTTTATGAATCAATCCTCTGGCCCTAAGGGCGCAGGCTGCTAAGCTTGTTAGATTCTTATGCCTGTTAAGCATAGAAGACGATTTTCCCGAACTAAGGAAAAACATGAAATTGCAGATGAAAAGATAACGTTTATCCTCAAAAGAAGAGAAAAGGAGACATGTCTAGGCTAAATTAGTGAATTTCAGGGATAAAGAAAATTTCAGTGGTCTTAAGATGGAAATCTTATACCAGGGAGAATGTGGGAAACAGCTTTTGTGCTGTGCTTAGGATTCAAGAACTTTCCAGAATCCCCTTGATGTTTATGGCACACGTGCATTCATTTTAGAACAGACTGACGTTAGTACAGCCTTTAAAACATTTAAAGAGTGGCCAGGTCCATTCTATCGATGATACAATTTAAAAATCATTAATTTTGACGGGAACCTTAATTTTGCTTTTTCGAGTTATATACACTCTTGCAAAAGCATTTGACGCTGTTCAGCCCGGGCCCCCCTCCATCTAGCATCTTAGTGAGATGCCAGGCTCACCCCAGTAAGGAAGCAGCAGTGCTGGGAAACGGGAACACGGGGTTGCAGACTGTGGCTGCCACCTTTTGGCAAGTTATGAAATTGGTTAGGGTGTTGCATTCAGTATTTGTTAGAAAATGAAATGCAAGAAGCTAGAATAGGGTAGACTATATTAGGACCCGGGTAGTAAGGTCAAGTCTTGTGTGTGTGTGTGTAATAGATATTGCTTTTGAAACTTTTCTTTAAATGTTCAGTTTCGCTTGGCAAGCTCTGATTAGAAGCTGTGTTCCCGAACCAGGCTTGTTTGGCCTGCCACGCAGTACGCCCATCACTGAGATGGCAAGTTTGCCGCAAAGAAAGGGTTTATTCATGAGGCAGTGAAGCAGGGAGAGGGGAGCACAGATCTCAAATCTACCTCCCCGAAAATGGGGATTAGGGACGTTTATGGGATAAAAGGGCAGGGTGGTGTGAAGTGTGGGATGGATGGTTGGAGGTGAGCAGGAGTAAGGTAACTGAGGATCTGGGCAGGCGTGGCCCAGCTTCATGGCTCCTCATAGGACATGTGTTCACAAAGTCGTGGCCTCAGCATGATCTGAGGGTGGAGTTTTCGGCCCTCTGGCATCAAAGGGTGCCTGTCAGTTGATGAGTCAGTGATCTTAACTGGCCTCAACTGGACCAGGAGTCGACTCTCAGTTCCTGAAAAACAGCTTAAGCATGCGTTACCATGGTGACCAAGCATCAGAGCTGCTGTCTGTAGGTTGGGCTTTGGTAATGCGCTATCTGACTGCTTTTGCAAATAACTAACTGAGTATAGTTAAAGCAAGTTGGCCCCTGGTTTCAGCTGTACACAAGGAAAAAACGAACAAACAAAAACCAGTCTTTGTGATGAAGTGTAACGTTCACAGAAAGCAGCTGAAATCACCTGTGCACAGGTGTGCCCCTCACAGACGCACGGGCAGAAAGGAGGGGCTGCGACCCCGAGGGCCCGCTGCCCTGACTCCTGAGCGCACCCCTGAACCCTGCTGCTCTTGGAATCCCAGGCTGCAAGCTGTGCAGTGCGCCCCTTTTGCGTTGGCTTCTTTCTCCCAAGCTCACGGCGGGAGAGTCATCCTCCTGCTGCACAGAGCTCTGGATTGTTCATCCTCGTTGCTGTCCTGCAGCCATTCCCGAAGTGGGGCCCCTGGGCCAGCAGCAGCAGCGTCACCTGGCAACATGTCAGAGATGCAAGTCAGAGACTTCGGGAGGCCCAGCCCTGGGCTGCACAGACCTGGGCGATGGTGATGGCCGCTGGAGTTTGAGCGCCTCCTGCTGGGGCGTATTCCAGCCACCATTCTGAAGGAGAAGCTCATATTCCTGATCGGGTTTTTCCAAGGGAGAAGGGAGTCTGTGCTTTTATTCCATGTGAAAATTAAATGAGGGAACGGCTCTGCAAACCTTTCCAGTTTCTATAGCTCCCTGAGCTGGTGTTTTTCCTCGTTATCTGGTCTTGCCCTCAGCTCCTTCCTGAATTATCCCTCTTTCTCTCTCCTCCAGCCCCACCCCACCCCTGAGGCCCCCAGTGACGCCCATTCCATCCTGGGGGCATGTCTTAGCCTGGGCTGTGTTGGACCTCTGGGTGCACTGGACTGGCTGTCCTCCTCCACCCCTCTGCCCTCGTCCCCAGGGCGCCTGTGCTCCTGACTGAGCTCCCAGCTTCTGGTCTCCCTGGGTGGCACTTCTGCCCCTGCCCCAATGCTGATGTCCTCAGGGCCCAGTCCTGTGCCCTAGGCACTTCCCCTGTCGCCTCCTGCCTTCCACCACATCTCCCCTCAACACACACGTGTTGAATGAATGAATGAATAAATTCGTCACACCCAGCTCCTCATCTCCCCTCACCCCCAAGGTGGTTTGTTCTCCAGGGTCAGCTGGTTGAATAAATGGCTTCAACGTGCACCCGTGCACCAGGTCATCACCCTGGGCCCCTCCGCCTTCGCCTGCTCCCACCATCAGGATCCAGTCCTGGTGTTGGAAGGAAGAGGGCTGTGAAGGGTCCGGCAGGACTCTGGCCCTCCGTAAGCTTAGCGAGACAGATTGGAAGCAAGGAAACAAACCAGAGAGCGCCCGACAATGTAAGGCTTGGGAAGGAAACAAAGATGGGGAGAGAGGCTGGCAGTCAAGAAGGCGGAGTCAAGGCAGGCCTCTGAGAAGGGGCCTGGGGCCGAGGCCTGAGTGAAGCCCCGCCCTCCGAGAGAAGGCGGGGTGGTGGCGGGGATTCAGGCCGAGGGAACGGTGAGTGAAAGGCCCTGAGGCAGGACAGGAGCAGCCAGTGTCTGGAGAGGCCTGAGCGCTGTGGGGTGTGGGAGTTGGGGCTGCCTTCCCTGGTGGGACGAGGAGAAGCCCTCGAAGGTTCCTCCTGAGAAGAGCTCCCCGGGATCTGCGGGCTCTCCCTCCAGAGCTGCAGGCGTGCAGTTGTGCACCGCCTGAGGCTGCTGACCACACTGTGTGCTGCTGGAGGGCTCTCCCCTACGCTTGACAAGGTGCCTATGGGAGCTGCAGGCCTGCTTTTCCTCCTCTTAAGTCTGCATCTCTCACTGCAGTCTCGAGCCTCAGAGCAGACCCCTCTCTGGTCCTTGCCTGGGGTCAAGGCACTTGATCCCCAGTATGTGGAAAAGAGAGGGACTAGAGGTCTGCCCATGTGAAGGGGGAGGGCAATCCAGGAAGGCTTCCTGAAGGAGGTGACGTTGTAGATGGGCCTGGGGTGAGAACTAGGCAGTCTCTGAGTGGCACCGTATGTTTCTGAGTGGAGCAGAGGCAAATCCAGGTGAGGACAAAGGATGGCCCATCCTGGAGCCCTGCACCGCCTGCTGCCCCTCACCGCTCTCCTCCCGCAGTTGGCACTGAGGAACGCCCTGCGCTACTTCCCCCCGGACCTCCAGGAGCTGCTGGCCCCTGAGTTCGCCGAAGAGCTGCGACTGTATGGGCACATCTACATGTACCGGTTCTGCCCCAGCATTGAAATGAGGTGAGCACCGGAAAGCGCAGTTTCAAAGGGGGCGCAGAGCGGGGCTACCAGGAGGGGTGCTGGAGGTCAGGTGCCCAGGAGAGCCAGCAGGAGGGGGCACATCCGGGCTGTGCACCAGGAGCCCCTTGCACGTGGTATGCCGAGCTGACGCACTCGCTCAGAGGGGGTGGCTGCATTGTCATCTGTGGTGTCTGCAGCCTGGGGCTGGTCTCTAGATACGGGATCCTTATCAGATGGGTCTCTGCCCACTGTCCTGGGCAGTCAGTTCTGTGCAATTCTGGAGCCAAACTGTGTACAAAATCCCTTTCTAAACTTCACATCTTGCCGTCCTGCCAGAGGGTGAGGAGAGGGGTCTCTGTGCATCTTCACATGCTCAGGGTCCCCATTAGGGGTCTCAAGCTGAATCATGCGCGGCACTGGAGGCCCTGTGAGAGCGTGGCTGGCTGGCCTTACCCAACACGGTGGATTCGGTAGTTTTAGGGTGGGGTAGGAGGGTCTGCCTTTCTCACAGTTCCCAGATGCTGCTGCCCCTGCCCAGGGGTCACACGCTGAGCACCGTTGGTCTTGAATGTGCCAGAGGCCAGACTTGTCTGACACTACCCAGGGACTGTTGTCCTCCCCATAAAGCAGGAGCCGTGTCCCCTCATTCCTGTCAGGGTCTGCTGGCCTGCACCTGCTCTGGAATCAGTGCCCAGGAACCCTGGTGACATGAAGAAAAGAAGGAATAAGTAAACTCTGCCCAGGGTAGAGGCTTCTGGAAAGCAGCCATCAGCTTTGCCTCAAAGTCAGCTTTCTCCCAGTTGGAGCCTGCCAAGTAGGAAGGAAGGGTGGCCCAGGTGGGCTCGGGCCCTACTCCCCACCCCTAGAAGGGGGAGCACAAAGCCCAGCATGAGCCCCTTGGTAGCTTGGAACCACCTCCTGCTAGGAGCTTCTTGGCGACTTGTGCAGGACGCAGGTCTGGCTGTCCACTCCTGTGTGGCCAGGTGCTGGGTTGTGGCCAGTGTGGGCCTGAGCTCTGCCAGAGGGAAGCCTGGTGCGCTCCCATCCTCACGCCTGGCCACTGGCCTCCCCTTGCAGGGCCTACCCAGTTGAGCAGTACCCCTGCCGGACGAGAGCCGCTGCGGCCATCATGCACATGATCATGAACAACCTGGACCCTGCCGTGGCCCAGGTAACGGCTGGGGGAGCCAAGGCCTGGGGGCCAGCGCTGTCCAATAGAAACATGATGTGACCCGCACATGTAATTCCTTTAAGATTTGTACTTAGAAATAATGATCGATTCACAGGACGTTGTAAAGATAGTGCAGAGAGGACCACATACCCCCTCCCAGCTTCCCTCAGTGGTACATCTTCCATCTCTAGAGCAGAGCATCGGCACCAGGACGTCAACGTTGGTACAATGACACACGTGTAACTGTAAATTTTCTAATAGCCACATGAAAAAGTAAAAAGAAGCAGATTTAATACTGTATTTTGTTTATCCCGATATATTCAAAATATTATCATTTTAACATGTAATCGATAAAAAAATTATTGACATATTTCACAATCTTCTTTCCTACTAAGTCTTTGAAATCAGGGGTGTATTTTACACTTAGAGCATATCAAACGAGCCGTGGCTCAAGGGCTTGATAGCCACACGTGGACATGGCCGCACATGCCTGTCACAGGCATCCTCGAGAGCCGGTCTGTGCACCGGATGCCCACATCTGAGAAAGGATAGCCTCTGCGGGAGTGAGTCCCAGGGTCATACTTGAGGGCAATACATCCCTGGAATCTGGCCACTGTGCCTCATGGTCAGAGCTTCTGCAGCCCTGGCCGTGGCCCCGGAACCTGGTCACAGAGTCCTGACATTGACCCCAGGATGAGTTCCCAAAGTGACCTCAGACCCAGCTCTGACCCTCACCCCAAGCCACGCCCTTACCCCACAGATGGGCCAGTCTTCCGACAGAGGCCTCTGTCCCTGGGTCTCGTCCCCTCTGGCTTCTCCCCCTGCCCCCCCCCCCAACTCCTTCTTCAGGGGCTGTGGGCCACCGTGCCCTGTTGAGCCCAGTGCAGGGATGGGGGCCCTCCCTTCCCAGGCCCTCAGCTCAGACAACACTGCGTCTTCTCCAGTTTCCCCAGGAGCTCGTGACCTATGGAGGAAATGGGCAGGTGTTCGGCAACTGGGCTCAGGTATGCTGGCCTGGCCCTCACTCCCAGGCCTTTCCCCCAACCACGTCCTCTGCCTGGAAGGAGCTTACAAACTCACAGCTCAGGACTCAGGTCTCTGCCCCCCGGATGCCTGAGATGCCATCACTGGAGCCTCTTTGGGGATGTTGAAGGTCCTGCGGGCAGGAGTGGCATTACTGGGGGCCCCAGGAGCCGCTGGAGTGCAATGGAGACCTGGAGGGACAGAGGCACCAGGGGGGACTCCCAGGGCTTGTGGGGGCCTCTGGGCCTGGTTGGTGACTTGAGGCCTGTTGTGGGGCCCCCACTAACAGAGCCCTCTGTGCTTTGCTCTCCTCTGCAGTTCTGGCTGACGATGTCCTACTTGTCACAGATGACAGAGGAGCAGACCCTGGTCATGTACAGTGGGCATCCGCTGGGCCTCTTTCCGAGCAGCCCTGGTGCCCCTCGGCTGGTCATCACCAATGGGATGGTGGGTCTCGGGGCAGCTGGGCACAGAGCCTGCCCGGGGGCAGCGGGGAGAACCGGGTGTTCCTGACACTTGCTCAGCCGTCGTTTCCTAGGGCTCTGTGCTGCCCCAGCCCTCGGCTCCGTCCCTGTCTTCCAGGTCATTCCCAACTACTCCTCCAGGACAGAGTATGACAAGCTCTTTGCCATGGGGGTTACAATGTAAGTCGCTATTTCAGTTTATACTATGCCGTTTCCACCTTAGCCGTCGTTGACCTTAAAAGCAGAAGAGCCACTCATTTTGCCAGCTAAATGAGTTTATTCAGGGATAGCAGAAGAATTGTAACTCAGGACGTGCAAACTATGGCAAAATCATAGGCAAGTCCAGAGAACAAAGGAGAGGGACTTGCTTTTATAGAGGAAAGGGGGAAGTTGGGAGGGGCTGTTTTGAACAAAAGTCCCCTGGAGGAGAGAGAGCGTTCAGGGTGGTGACAGCTGCTTAGCGGCTGGGCTGTTGCTGGGCAGGGGGGGTCTCCTCCCCTCCTCCTGCTGGCATGGTGACTGACCTGCTGCTTCCTCCCGGAGCTGTGCGAGAAGCTGCGACAGCCCGTGTGTGCACCAGAGCTCCCCCTTCAGGGCTTCCTGGCCTCACTTTGAAGGAGATTTTCCTTTATTCATTTCACGCCATGCTTCATTATAAAACAATGTAGCAATGCTAAATACAATTTTCAAAACCACTTCCAATCACAGCACTGGAGCACAATTTCATATTTACGTGTTCCCTACTAGTTTTCATGGATATGCTTACAATTTTTATATACTTGTAAGCAAGTGAACATACAGTTTGAATCCTTTTCTCCAATATTTTATTATGAATAATTTCAAACATGCAAAAAATTGAAAGAATTTACAGTGAACACCAAGATTCTGTGATTAACACACTACTCAACTCACTTTATCCCATGTTTATCTTTCTATCTGTCCTCCCATCTATCCCTCCAACTTGGTTTTTGATGCTTCTCAAAGTAAGATGCAAATATTATGGCCTGGAATTCCATATGTGTTTATATTTTTTCTTTTGAGGTGAAATTTATATGTAATAAATGTACACCTCTTATGTGCACCATTCAATGAGTTCTAACCAATGCGCGCACCTGTGCAGCTCGAACCCTGTCAAGGTGCAGAGCACTACCGTTTTATGTTGTGCAATCAATGCATGCTCCAGACTGAGAATTTGTCCCTCCAACATTGTAAAAGGAGCTACAATGAAGGGAAATCCTCTCCTACCCTGGATTCCCCAGTTCACAGTGACTCCTGTGTCTGCACGCATTTCTCGTGTGTGTGGGTGCAGGTTTAGGTAATGAACCCGTCATCAGTGCCCTCGGCACTGGCCCTTCTGCTTTGACCTCACAGCCTGGAGCATGCTCATTTGCGGACAGGTGGTCTAACTTACTCTTGTTTTACCTGTGGTGTCAGCTGCACCATTATTTACTTTATTTAGCCCACTTGCCACCTGATTTGGGTCGTTTCCAGTTCTCTGGGATTATGAATACTACAGTGAGTGTCCTGATTCGTATGTCTTTGTGGCTCTCTGGGAGCGTTGCTCTGAGATAATAACCATGAGTAAAATGTGATCAATTAAGCAGGCCTCAGGCTAATTAGCTTTAGCCTCAGCATTAGCTTCATCGTATAATCATAATAATAGTCACCACTGTGTTGTTCCAGGGTTTATAGATGCCATCACATTTAATCCTCTACACAACCCTCTGAACTAGGTACCCTTATTAACCCATTTTGTGGAGGAAGAAACTGAGGCTCAGAAACCCAGGCACTTTTTTGGTTGGTCATAGTTGTTCCTGTTGCTGTTAATATTATTGTGAGGCCTGAAGACCTCTTCTGTACCAAGAGAAGCAGCCGTGCAGTCAGAGGGTCCACATCCTGGCTCCACTGTTGCCTACTGTGACTTCGGGCAGTTGCTGGACTTCTGCTTCGTAGATTCAGGATGGAGGTTTAAAGAGGGTACAGCTGCAGAGTCACACCTGGTTGGCTGCACCTGAGGGATGACCCAGGTGCTGTTGGCACTTGACTAAAGAAAAGATGCAAATCGCCAGTAGAGACAGGAAAAAGTTTGTCTAAGCAGTCTGAGAACAACTAAATAAAACAAAGCTTTTTCACTCTCAGGCTGACAAAAAATGAAGCTACAGATGGCACCGAGTGCTGGGGAGGCTGTGGGGAAAACGGCAGTCACAGACTGGGGTGGAGTCTAGGTCAGGACAGCAAGGCCACAGGTGGCCAAGAGGGTCACTTCCAGTGACTGGGGTAAAAGTTCAAAATGGAGAAAATTTGTCCCCACAAATTTACTTCCAAGAGTTATCTTGGGAGCAGCATGCAGCAGGTCACAAAGGATTGAGGCAGAAAGAGTTGACGTCAGTTCCCAGCTCTGCCACGTGTCCCTGTATAACACCAGAACACGGGTCCTGGCCGTAAAGAGGGCATGTTGATGCTCCTGTCTCAGAGAATTGTGTGAGAACTAATGAAATGATAAGATAACACCCTTAGCACCGGAGCATGAAGGGGGCCCTTGGGCACTCCGCTCCAGTGGACACAGGCCCACCAGGGAGCACAGCTCTGGCACGGGCTGGGGGTCTGATGGTTTCACCTGCCCCCGATGGAGGTCTGTTATGTTAGCAGTGTTCTCTTACGTTGTGTGATATTCATACCGAACTCAGTACGTTCGTTTCTTGGTGAGTGCAGAGCTGAAAAGCACAACCGAGGCAGAAGTGGGTGAAGGAAAGGTTTATTGCTTTCACAAGCAATGGAGAACACCAGGGACATTTCTCAAAAGCAGTGTCTCCCTGAGCTCAGTGCCAGTAGAGACGTTGTACACAAGAGTTCTGAGGATAACGGGTTTATTTGCTACAACTGTGTAATGACGGTGCTTAACTAGGGCGCCTGTGTAGTGGGTCAGCAGACCCTCATGCACCAAGTGCAAGGTGACACACCATTACAGAGCAAGTTCCAGGCAACTTTTGGACGCTTGCGGCTGGAGCCTTTTGTAGGGGTTTTGCTGCGTTTCTCTGCAAGATGGCAACATCTGTGAGACCGGTACATCAGCTTCTGAAAAACAGCACATTCAGTTTCTCCTTGTCTGGAAAACATTTGACAGACCATCTCAGTTATTGATGAGATTCTCAGTAACCCTTTCTTTGCCTGGCTCCCCCGTCACAGAAGCAGAGGTTCCAAGTGGACCAGTGCCTTGCCTAAGCTTTGGGACAGGCTTGGCATTCAGACACAGACCTGTGAGAATCAGGGTCCACCCTTGATCCAGAAGAGAGGAGGGGCTGGGGAAAGTTGCTGGGGGGCAGGAGCCCAATAGAGAAGAACAGTGAACTTGAAGTTTACAAGGAAGTCAGCGCTCAAGACTCTCCTTACCTCTGCAGTCCTCTGGGAAGGGTGAAACTCAGGCAAGAGCAAAAGGCTGTCATTCCCGTCACACGGCCCAGATTCCAGTGTTGATGGCTGTCAAGTGATGGGAACAGGCACACTCATGCATTGCTGCTCACAATCCCTCTGAATTTGACGGTATCCATTCATATTTTAAATGTTTGCACTGAGGACCCAGGACCCAGTGCTTCCCGTTTCTGGTTTCTACCCTGGACGGCATGGCCCCTGGGCCCGAGGAGGGGGACAGGAGGTCACTCGCTGCAGTGTTGTTCGTTGTCCGTGTAGCAGAGTTGGAGCCATCCCGATGATCAGTAGGGGAAAGAAGAACATTCTGTGGCTCCTGGTGCTGTGTACTGCGAGCCGTGAAGGCAACGAGCAGGATGTGTGTGTGCTGATGTGCAAAGACCCCCACAGGCGTTGTGTTCAGGGGAAAAACAAGCTTCAGAAACAATACCTACAGAATGAGGCCGTTGATGTGAATAATACTAACAATAATAATAACTCCTCACGCCAAACAGCTCTCTGAATGCCGTTCCCACACAGCACAGTGCACACACCTGAAGAGTGTGGCTCGGAGAGCCCTGACAAGTATGCGTAGCTCGCTCCCCCCTGCTGGCGGGCAGGCTCCCCGAGTGAAGGTCCTTGAGTGGACCCCTGCGGAATGTACTCTTTTTAATGTCTGGCTTCTTCGCTCAGCAGGGTGGCACATGGGAGGGCTCCGTTCTTCTTTGCTGGGTGCATTCCATCATGCTCGCTGGGGTTCATCTTCCTCCTCCTGTGATGGGTGCTTCCCCGTCTCAGGGTTGCTGTGAACGATGGTGTGCGCGTCCTTACGTGGGCACAAGCTTGGAAAGTGCAAGTGCCGGTGCTGGGTCAGGTCACACTGAGCGTGCGGTGATGTGGCTAAGTATTCCCCACTGCAATCCTGCCACTGAGACCACAGCTTCTGAGAGAGCGAAACCTGTTTATAGCAGGTCGAGAGGCCAGAGGGCACCAGGAATGGGGACTGTAGCCTTTTCTAAAATGCTTTTTAAGGAGACTGTACTAATGCATTCTGGGGTAACTAAAAATGAGTTTTCGAGCATCCAAAGTGGGTGACGGGGAGAAGCTGGGCCTGGGCTCACCTCGCTGCTTGCCTTCTCTGTGGTCAGGTATGGCCAGATGACAGCGGGCAGCTATTGCTACATCGGTCCCCAGGGAATCGTCCACGGCACAGTGGTGAGACAGGGGCCGCGTCTGGCCGTCGGGGATGGGAGGTGGACATGCTGGGAGTGGACAGTGAGCGCCCCACTCTCTCCCTGCAGCTCACCGTGTTGAATGCCGGGCGTCGGTATCTGGGCACCGAGGACCTGGCCGGGAAGGTCTTTGTCACCTCTGGGCTGGGCGGCATGAGTGGAGCTCAGGCCAAAGCGGCAGTCATCGTGGGGTGCATTGGCGTGATAGCAGAGGTGAGCCAGTAGGAGGGCCGAGTCTGCTTCCCGCCCACCTCCCCCCATCCTCCTTCCAGAGCCACTCACAGCCTCACCCTCTCTTCTCTCACCCCTCCTCAAAGCCTCCCAGGCTGGGTCCCCACCGCAGCACGCCTGCTGCCCTCGATGTGCCCCCACCTTCCCTGGCCTGTTGATGCCCCCATGACACTGACCTTCTGTGGGCACCACTTCCCTTTTCCACCACATCCCTGGAATGTAGGTGGGAGTTAGTAAATGTTTGAAAATAAATGAACACAGACTCCCCCAACTCAGACAGTCCCCATTCGGTGGGGAAGGTGACACGTCGCCGTCTGCTGGGGGCGAGGGCAGGTGGCTTTCCTTCAGGGCTCTCAGCTTTCATTGGTAGTGCCAAGGAGAGGAAGGGAAGCAGGAAGAGGAGGTGAGTAGCTCTGAGGAAAGCCTCTGATACACACCAGTGTGATTTGCTCTTAGTTAATACTAAACCTGTGACATATGTAGCTGTACTTGTTTGGAGCCCATTTGGCTGCAGCTAGCAAAAAACTGAACTAGGCAGCTTACACAAATAGTTTTATTTTTCTCATGTAACCAGCGGTGCTGGCATTGGTTCAGCAGCTCAGTGATGTCAGGGCCAACATCTCTAAATTCTCTTGAGCTTCCTTCATGGATACAAAATGGCTGCTTCAGCCCCAGCCATCCCATCTATATTCAAGACAGGAAGAAGGGAGAAAGGGAAGTGCCAGCTATGGCTGACTCTATTTTAGCAGAAAAATAATGTCTTAGAAATTCCTTCTTTTATGTCATTGGTCAATCTACAAGGGAGGCTGGAAACAGTGGGAAGGACAGTTGTGATTAGCTGGGACGTGGTTCATCTCCTGGGACTGAGCACAGTGTCAGTCTGAACAAAATCCAAGTTCTGTTGATAAGGAAGGCAGTGACTGTTAAAAAGTGGTGATCTACATGGGGCCTGGCACCTGCCTAGAGGAGGGTGACACACTCAGGGGTGACTAGTCACTGGGTGGCCCTGTGTCTCATGGTCCCAGGTGGATAGAGCAGCCCTCATGAAACGCCACAAGCAAGGCTGGCTGATGGAGGTAGCCGACAGCTTGGACCACTGCATTCGAAGACTCAGGTACAACAACCGATGTGAGGTCGAAAGTGGGGACCCGGAGGCTGAGCTGTCTCGTGTGGCTGTTCAGTGCCTGACACCCGGCCACCGGTGGGCACCACACCAAGTGATACTCAGGTCGTACAGGAGAAGCATTGGGGGAGGGTCTTCTCCATGTCTGTTTCTTGCTGGTCCGTATTGCCAGTGCGTAGGAAACCCCTGGGTCTGCAGATTTGTGGTGAGACACTGGGTTCCAAGAGATTTTCAGTCACTCTCTTGGTGTTCCCACAGTTCTGCACGATATTCAGCCACAGTTCTGCACAGAATGTGTCCTGTTTCTCCCTGCTGTGGCCTCAGTGCCAGCCCGGACACACCACATAGCATGTGCCCGTCTCACCTGCTGGGGGGCATGAGCCTTTGAATGGTGGAGCTTTTGCTCAGCGGGACCCCTCAGGTTCCTCCCCATTTAGGCTGGGGTGTCTGTGCCACATCAGAGGCAGCGTTTCCCTCCTCGCTGATGTCTCCTGAGGTATTTTAGTGGGAATGGGGGGCAACTGGCTGGGAGCTGCCACCCAGATGCGATTTGTGAAGCGCCCTCTCGGCTCACTTGCTAGCAGACCTGGGTCCCGCGGGGAAGGCCACCGCCGCACAGCCACGCTTAGAACCCGGGGCTTCGAAGGGGGTTTGTATGAAATGTCAAAGTGCACACTGAAGACTGGGTACTATTTTGACATAGATCTATCTAAAATATCACTTTGACTACATTGCTCTCAGCTGACTCTTCATCAATTATGGGAGAAATTCCAAACTCCTGGTGTGGCGTCGAAGGGTCCGGCCTCATCTGGCTCCTATGTCTGTTAATGCTGTTTAGCATCCTGAAAACACACACACACTTGCACACTGTCACACACACACACATACATACACATGTACACTCATTCCTACATATGCCCACTTTCACACACATGCACACACACACACATGTACACACATACATACTCAACATGCATACGCTCTCACACACACTTCCAACCGCTCTGATATTTTTGTCATCTCTAAATATCTCTCTTCCATCTGCCTTCTCCCTCTTGTAGCTCACACAAAGTTTGGGCCAGCTTAATTCCTGCTGTCTCTCACACACACAACAAAATCACTTCAAGTCAGTTTAACAAACTGCCTTAAGCAGCCTGTCGTCGCACGTCTGCTCCCTGAGCTGCGGAACACACACTTGGGGATGGAGTGAGGCTCCGGGGCCCCGTCCCTGTGCTGGCCCTTCGGCTGGGATGCAGTCCTCATCCAGCTCGGCACGGTCTGGGGGCCCGCTCACTGCTCTGGGACTCGGTGCCTTTTCCTGCTTCGTCGTCCTTGCGCTCTTGGGAGAGGAGCGTGCCTGGCCTCCTCCGCCAAGCTTGGGCTCAGTCACTTTGCATCTTAAGCAGGTGCCATGCCACCTCATTGACTGCTTTCTGACACCTCTGATACCTGTGACGGCTTTTATATGTTCAAATCTCTTCCCCCAAATATGTTTCACATTTTTGTCCTTTTATTTTTCCAAGTAATGTTTGGAATCATCTTTAATGACATCTACAATTTGAGGATCACCTTGAGTGAGTTCTAGAAAGATCTCCCAGAGCCCTAATAGCAATAGCCCTAGTTCTGTGAATCTCCTCATCGTCCTTGTGCGAGGGTTGTCCCACTGTTGTGTCGGTTCTCCTGTCTGGGGCAGTCGAGACCGTGGCCCTTACAGTCAGCGTCCTCAGATGGCATGCCTCATCAGTGCCTGCACCTCAGGCCCTGCCCTCCACTTGCACACAGTACTTTCGGGGGTCCTCTGGGTTTCCTGTAATCTGGCCAGCTTGGTGCCCCCTGTATGTGGGGGGCAGCTGTGGGCAGGTGTGATGGGAACATCTGTCCTGCTTGTATCCCCTTCTAGGGAAGCAAGGAGAAGGAAGGAGGTGCTCAGCCTTGGTTACCATGGCAATGTGGTGGATCTTTGGTAAGTGGGGGTATGGCATCGGCAGCCTAGAGGACCCCAGGTGAACCTCCCCCTCTGGCCAAGGTCTTCAGGGCGGCCAGTACTCCTGGGACACAAAGCTTCAAGTGTCAGTTCACGGCAGCTTCTCTGCCCGGCCCGGCAGTCTCCCCAGCAGAATTCTTTGTTGGGGGGATGCAGGATTAGCCTCAGCTTGCTGCAGGTCTTGTGGGCTGCAAAATGTGCTGCAGGCCAGAGGGTGCCCGCCCCTGCCCCCAGCAGGTGCCACCTGGGAATCACCACCCACCCTGCATCTCCCCAGGGAGCGCCTGGTCCACGAACTGGATACCACAGGGGAGCTCTTGGTGGACTTGGGTTCAGACCAGACGTCCTGCCACAACCCGTTCAATGGCGGCTACTACCCTGTGCAGCTGGGCTTCACAGAGGCCCAGAGCCTCCTGGCCTCCAACCCAGCTGCATTCAAGGCCCTGGTCCAGGAAAGGTGCGCTGGCCGTGGGCTGCTCAGGGGGTGGGTGTGGGCCTGGGGTACGGGCGCAGAGTCGGGGAAGCACGCACGGCCGGCAGGAGCTTTTGGACTGAGCATTTCTGGCCTCCACCTGGTTCTCCAGCGGCCAGCTGTGTGGCCTTGGGCAAGACCCTTAATCCCTCTGAGCCTCTGTTTCCACCTCTGTCAGACGAGGTGGAAGTCAGCAGAACTGCCTGAGCTCCATGGGGTGGGGCTCTGGGATGACAGAGGTGGGACAGAGAGGGCCAGCTCTCAGAGCCTCACTGGTGGGCAGAGCTGACCACTGGCCACCGGTCTGTTGCAGCCTGAGGAGGCAAGTCTCAGCCATCAACAGGCTGGCCAAGGAGAACTTCTTCTTCTGGGACTATGGCAACGCCTTCCTCTTGGAGGCCCAGAGAGCAGGTGAGAGGAGAATTGAGGCTGGGTGAGGGGGCCCCAGCCTCCCTGGCTGGGAGGGGCCAAGATGCTGGCACTGGGCAAGCTGCCCTCTCTCCAGCCAGGTGTGGCTGGTACGTGCCTGGGGGAGGCGGGGACCACGGCATGCAGGTTCCACTGTGCCCCTGCCCAGGCCTTCTGGAAGCTGGCCCCGCTAAGTCTTTGGCCTCACTGGGCCTTGGTTTCTCTATTTGCTTTAAGAACAACGGAAAGCACCATGGGCAGAGCAGGTGCGATGCTTGGGTATAAGGAAAAAAGTGCAAGAAAATGCACTTTTACTGTTCCGTGATGGAAACTTCTTTCTGTAAAACAGGTGAATCATTCATGGAGGGTAAAGTTCAAAAGGTACAAAAGATAGACAGTGGGAAGTCTCCCTCCCGGCCTGTGTCTGGCACCAGCTCCCTCCTGGAGTCTTTGGCCTCTGGAGTGCCTGTGTGGATGCGAGGCAGATGGAGGGGCAGAGGCAGCCATGCCCCGTGCAGTGTGCACAGAGGGCAGCGTGCCCTTGCTCTCTCTCTCCTCCTTATACCTCGACAGAGATGGGTGGTGCTTCCCTGTCGGGACAGGGTGCTCCGTGGTCCTTCCTCAGGCCTTTGTTAAATCACCCTCTGGATGGTGGCATATGTCCTACCTTGGGGGGCCTGCCAGCCCTCGGCCCCTCCAGGTGATTCTGGGCGGGGCCTCTGTCCACAGGAGCCGACGTGGAGAAGAAAGGCGCCCGTAAGACAGAATTCCGCTACCCCTCGTATGTCCAGCACATCATGGGGTAGGTGATGGGGCCCCTCCCAGCATCCTGGGCCTGGACATTCGGGTCGGGCAAGCCACCCCCTCTGACCACAGCTGGGGTCGTGCACTAAGGCCTTTGCTCAGCAGTAGAGTGGCCACCACACCAGGTCACAGGGCTTCCACCACAAAATGCAGGTGAAGAGAAGCTGAAACCCTCAGTGACCTGGTACAGGGCCTCAGGGAGAGAGCAAGGAGGCTGGGGGAGCCAGCCGAGGTCACTTCCTGGTGAACACCCCAACCTCTGTGTACCTTGAGTGCTGCATCCACATTGCTGCCCATCTCGTGGCCACAGCCGCAGGCTCCGAGCAGGCAGCTGGCGGCTCAGTCCATGAAGGCCAAGACTTTGAAGCCTGTGTGCCCCCCTGGCCTCTCGGGCAGGTCTGGAGAGACCAGCGGCCCAGGACACGGAGGGAGGAGTGGGCAGTGCCCAAGGGGCTGGGCTGAGGGTGGAGGTGTCAACGCCAAGCCAAGCAACCTAGGCTTAAGCAACACAGACGCGCAGGGGGCAGGGGGGAAGGGGGCGGAGGGGGAGGTGGGGGGTCGGCAGCTTCACGATGCTGTTGGAAGGTTGGCCAGCCCTCGCATGCACCAGGTGGGCAAGAGGGCGGGAGGGAGGGAGACCAAAACGCCTCCTTCTCAGGCTCACTGGGGGTGGGGAGGCAGAGCCATGTGGGCGCCAGCCACAGGGGCAGGGGCAGCTGGGGTGTCTCTGAGGAGGGAGGCAGGAAGGTAGCCTGCAAGGGGGCTGGTGAGCATGGGAGGCCAGGGACGCCCAGGCTGCTGCACCCTCTGCTCGAGGTCCCCTGGAAGGCCAGGTCCCCTGGGAAGGTCAGGTCCCTGAGAGGGTCAGGCCCCTGGGAAGGTCAGGTTCCCCGGGAAGGTCAGTCCCCTGGGAAGGCCAGGTCCCCACTTTCACTTTTCTCCCAACTATTTAGTTTTACTTGACTGATTTTTAGGTTGTCTGTAACAGCAGTTTAAGGACATTTCTGCTCGTGTCCCAGGTCCCTGCTCCGGCAGCTAGAGATGGTGCAGCTCTGAGATGGGGGGCAGAGGGCTAGAGGGAAAGGGAACACTGAGGGGGCTGAGGGGGGCACTGAGGTCACGAAGGGGCTAAGGGGAGGGAGGGGGCCTGTGGCAGGCAGGGCCTCCGCAGCTTCCTGTCCAATAAATGGCTTAGGGACTTCCAGTAACAATTCTAGATGTGGAAGCTCCCACTTCACTACACATGCCCACATGCTACGCACCCCAGCACACGCCCACTTCACACACAGCCTTCACCCCACTCAGTTCTGGAGCATCTGCTGGCCTCCCCTCCCTGGATCGTGGTGAGCCTGGCCAGGGGGTGCAACCAGCTTGGGAAGCCCCAGAGTGATAAGGCACTTTGTCTTTGCAGGGACATATTCTCCCAAGGATTCGGGCCTTTCCGCTGGGTATGCACGTCAGGGGACCCCCAGGACCTGGCGGTCACGGACCAGCTGGCTGTGTCTGTGCTGGAGGCGGCCATTGCTGGCGGAGGTAGGGCTGTGGGCTGGGAGGTGCTTTTGGCAGCCAGCAGTGCAGGCGGTTGTCCTTGCCCCTCTCCACCCCCCGACTTCTCCGCTGTCCCCTGCCTGTGGGCGCAGGAGCATGCAGCCTCAGGGGGGTGCCACCAGTGGTGCTTCTGGGTCTTTGCGGCTGCTCTCTGTGCCCCGTCTGTGCCGTGGCCTTCACTGCCCCCAGCCCCCTCCGCTTTCCTCGCCAGGGCTCGTCCAGTGCATCTCTGGTTTCTCTGACATGGAACGCTGGCTCTGCGTCCGCATGGGGACGGCAGTGGCGGGCCACGTCCGCCTGCCCCCTCGGTTAGCCGCGGTCCCTTCTCGTGGGGTGGGTTTGCCATGTCTCTGATCCGGGGAGGGGAGAGGCGCTTCCTGGGGGACGCTTCCTCGCCGTCAGGGCTCCTGCTGGCTCGCTGCAGCTTTGCCTCGGTCCAGGAGGCTTCTCTCCCTGTCTCTGTGCGGGTCGGCCAGCCTTTGCTGTCATTTTACATCCCCAGGGGCCATTTTTGCATCCAGGTGCCTTGGGCCGGGGGTCAGGGCTGCGGAGCCAGGCTGGGGGGTGCGGGGGAGGAGCTGGCGGGGCGCCTCTGGGCAGGAGGGAAGTGGCCTTTGCTTGGAAATCTGGTCAGAGGCCTCGCAAGTTTCCTGGTGTTAGAACCGCTGCACGGCCCTCGGCAGGTGGTGGCGGGTGGCCAGCGGCCGCCCTCCGGCAGGGTCCTCTGCGCCGGGCACATGCTCCCGGAGTGGCTGCTCTCGAGGGGGCTCCACTGGAGCAGCAGCAGTGTTTCCACCAGGCAGGAACCTTGTAGCACAGGTCCTGGTATAAGAGAGTAAAGGAATTAAGATGTGACGACTTGTGAGCGTTACCTTCATTTTTAATAAAAGCTTTTTAAAGTGTAAGTTTATTTAGTTGAAATTTTAACCACTGGCTCACACAATTCCTGAAGGTTTAATGCCTGCTCTCCTCCCCCGTGCCCTCCGTTCCTTAGCCGACTGGCTGGTCTTACTGAGGTAAGCCAAGCTCCTTCCCACCTCAGGGCCTTTACACTTGCTATTCCCTCTGCCTTGAATGCTGTTCCCTCAGATCTTCATGTAGCCGATTTCTCCTTAGCATTTAGGACGTCGCTTGACTGTCACCTCCTCAGAGAGGCCTTTGGTCCCCTTCCCCCCATGCTAGTGACGCCCTCACTGCACTCTTATCTTCTTCATGACCCATGGAAGTCTTTGTTCCCAGTGCCTGGCGCATGGTAGGCCCTCGATAGCTGTTTGTGGAGGGAATGAGGGTACCAGTCAGTGCATTAATTCACGTGACCGTGGGCATCGCTGGGTCCAGGAGGCGAATGGCCTGGTGTGGTGCTGGGGATGGGGTCTCCCTGACCCACTGTCCGGGCTCCAGTGATGGGTGCAGAACAGGTGGCTGCGCCAAGCAGCCTGCGAGAGGGAGGGTCTGCGCCCCCCGCCACGGGGCGGAGGCCCCTGTGCCATGCCATCCCTCCCTCTCCCCTTGCAGTGAACCCGGCGGTGAGGCTGCAGTATGTGGACAACATCCGCTGGATCCGGGAGGCCGCCAGGCACCAGCTGGTGAGGGCTCAGCCTTGGGGGAGGCAGGGCTGGGCCCCCGGAGAGGGTGTCTACACGTCCCATGAGACTGCTTAGGCGGCAGCCCCATCAGCCTCATAGGAGGTGGCAGCAGCCACCTCGCCACGGGGCCACTGGACAAAGAAGCCCAGGGCCTTTCAGAAGGTGGCCTGGGGCTCTGGGGCAGCGACCAGGGTCAGTTAGGTCGTTCTTCACGCAGTTACTCCACAAATAGTGCTCTCTCAAGAGGTGGCCCCTGCAGGACCCTGGAGCCAGGCCTCCTGGCCTCTCAGCTGTGTGACCTGGGGTGAGTGGCTCAGCCTCTCTGAGCCTCCCACCTCATCTGTGCAATGAGATGCTGTGATGGCACATGCACTCTGGCTGTGGGGGTGAGCTTGGAGCAGGCCCTCTGTGGCAGTTGGTGCATCAGGCACAGCCGGGGCCCGGGTTGGGCAGACAGGCGTGCCTGCTGCTTCATTTCTGTGGCTGTGAGTGTGCGCATGAATCAGGGTGACGTGGGCTGGAGGCTGCTGTGTACAGACCAGGCAGAAAGGTGTCTCTGAGGAGCTGACTCGTGGGTTCAGGTCTCAATGCTGGGGTTTGGGGAGTCAGGAAGCAGCTGTGTGACTGGCACCAGAGGCAGAGGGACCAGCCAAGTCACAGCCCTGAGGTGGCAGCGGGCTTGCTGTACCAGAACGAGAAACGGGCTTGTGGCTCACACATGTTCGGCAACAGAACCCAGTAGCCCGACGCTGCCACCACGTCTGGACTAGTGGCTCCTTGGCTGGGCCCTGGGCTGGGAGGGGACTGCCTTGAGCACTGCCCCCTTTCCTGGGCTTCTGTGCTCCAACAGCATCCACCCAAATGGCTGTCCTCCTCGCCCCCTGCCTCGCACGTGTGTTTCAGCCGCAAAACCCCTGTGCCAACGGTGTTTCTGTGGCCAGCCCAGTCGGAGACGCCCAAGGCCCCGGCTGCCGACTTGAGGGCTTGGGGCCCAGGGAGGAGGACGCGGCTGGTCCAGAGCAGGGCCTGGAGGGGAGAGCAGCACCCTGCCTTGTGGGCGGGGCTCCAGCTCCCGGAAGAAGGGCTGCCAGGTGGTCGTGCCAGGTGGCTATGCGGTCAGGGCTTGTGCCGTGGCCAGCTGGGCACTGCCGCGAGGGCCATAAGCAGGTCTCTGTCCTTGTGTCTAAGTTCATTTATTCAGAGATTGGGTTCTCCTGCTTGTTTCATGTTGCTCTTTCTCTTGTGAAAAATGGTCATCGCAGAAGGTCATCCTTTGTACAAATTTTAGTTGAGTTTCTTTAATGTATGCTCTTGCCAAAGCTGCAATCCTGTGTCAGTTCCTCCTCAGTTTTCTTTTTCTGGATTGAATAAATCTGAGAATTTCTGCAGTGCTGAGGTATAGTATGGTTTTTCCAAAAAGGGCCTGAGGCCGCTGGTGTGAGTACACTAGGGCCGTGGGAGAGAAAGGCACGAGGAAGTAAGCAGCAGCCGGCTGACCGCTGACGACGTGGCGGGGACCAAGCTCTCGCTTCAGGCTGCTGGTCAGGCGCAAGGCTGGCTCCACCACGCTCCTGCCTCCTCACCCCTTCCTGCACCAGCTGGCCAGGCAGCTGAGGGAAGCACCTGCAACCTTTTTGGAGAATCCAGGGTTTCTGAGCCTCAGCACTACTGACATTTGGGACCAGATAATTCTTTTTTTTTTTTTTTCAAACGTGGTAAAATAATATTAACATAAAATTTACCATCGTACCCATTTTTAAGGTACAGCTCAGTGGCATTAAGTACATTTACATTCTGTGCAGCCATCACTGCCGTCCATCCTCAGAACGCTTCCATCTTCCCCAGCTGAAGCTCATCCCCATTAAACACCAACTCCCCACCCCCTCCCCAGCCCCTGGCAGCCCCCATTCTACTTTCTGTCTCTATGGATTTGATTTCTCTAGGGGCCTCACGTAAGTGGAATCATACGGTATTTGTCCTCTTGTGACTGGTTTATATCATTTAGCATAATGTCCTCAAGGTCCATCCGCGTTGTCGCAGGTGTCAGAATCTCCCTCCTTTTTCAGGCTGAATCATATTCCGTTGTATGGACAGGCCACTTTGTGTTTATGCATTTATCCATTGATGGACACTTGGGTTGCTCCCGCCTGTTGGCTGCTGTGAATAATGCTGCTATGGACGTGGTGTACAGATGTCTCTTCGAGTCCCTGGGGGCTGGATAATTCTTTGTCATGGGGGCCTTTGTAGGATGTTGAGCAGCATCCCTGTCCATGCCAGCAGCACCCAGATGTGTCTCCAGTCATTGCCAGATGCCGTTCTGGTTGAGGACCGTTGTGCTGCACAGTGACTCCTTTTCATTTGCTGAAGCCTTTCTTTCTTGGGAGCTGTGCCTCGCCCTCCAGGAGTGCTGTGTCCTGGTGGTTGAGTGCGTAGGTGCTCAGCCCTGCCACCTCCCGGCTGGGTGACTCTGGGCTGGTTGCTCTGCCCCTCTGGGCCCCAGTTTCCTCACCTGTAAAATGGAGCCTACCATGAGGGTAACAGCATCTTCCTCATAACGCTCACAAATGCGTGAGTGTAAGTTCCTGGAGTTGTGCCGGGTGCAGCCATCAGTGCACTAGGTGGTGTTGCTGTTACTATTATTGGAAGGGCACGCAGGGTGATGCTCATAGTAGGATGTGGCTCAGGGTCTCAGAGGCCCCTCCGGGGCTTAGCCCTTGAGGTGAAGGACCACAGAGGGACGCCGGGGGCCCAGACTGCACGTGAACATGCGGGCGATTGGCGTGGCTGCCTGGTGGGCTGGATGTGAGGCCTTGCCTCAGGCCCACGGATTGTAGAGCCACCATGCACCTCGGGGGCCTCCAGGACCTTCCTAGGGGTGGCCATCTGGCTGCTGGTGGGACATGTCACTCAAGTCTCCCCCCGTGTCACAGGTCACCGAGGTGCCTCTTCTTCCCTCTCTCCGCAGGTGGTGGGCTCCCAGGCAAGGATCCTGTACTCTGACCAGAAAGGCCGTGTGGCCATTGCCGTGGCCTTTAACCAAGGCATCGCCAGTGGGAAGATCAAGGTGACGTGCCCTGTGCTGCTGGTGGGAGGCCTCCCTTAGGCTCCTTCTTGTCAGTGCCAGCCCTGCCTTGGGGCCCCAGCTCTGTGTGTGTCAGGTGGGGAGCGGGTACCTGGGGGCCAGGAGTGATGAGGCCTGTCCTCAGACCCAGGCTCTGACACTGTTTCCTGCTGTGTGATCTTGGGCAAGTCAGGTGCCCCCTCTGAGCCTCAGTTTCCCTCTTCTGTGAAAGGAAAATAACCGTAACCTCAGATCATGGGTGTGAGGATTAAATGAGTCAGTCCACACAAGTATTTCATATATCTTTGCTGAATTATCTTTTTCAAATCATAACAGGCTTCCCGAGCTTTTCTCCATTTTCCTCCGAGTCAGCCTGGCCCACCTTGGGGTGCGTGGAGCTCCAGGCACACTTGTTCAGGGCCTCTCACTCTTGTGCCTCCTGCCTGAGTTCTTGCTGGCATCCCTCTGTTTGCAAGGACCAGGAGTAGTAATGATCAGATGTGAAAAGGAAGTCATGACGGATGACTGTGAAGGCTGTCCCTGTGGCCCCGGGTGGCACTGGCGGCAAGGACAGCAGCCCCAGCCTTTCTCAGGGAGCACCAGCAGCGTGCACGGCTGCTGGGCGCTTCCTGAAAGCCCGGGTGCTTGTGTGGATGGCTGGCACAGCGTGGCTGGAACAGCCTTCCAGGCAGGCTTCCATCCAGGCTGCAGTCGGCTGGTTGGCCCAGAGAGCTGAATGAATGAATGAATTCATTCATTCAACAGTGCTTGATTGAGCACCTCCTCTGTGCCAGTCTTGTTCTAAGCACGAGGGACAAAGTGGCAGAGAACAGGATAGACAGGGTCCCCACTCAGCGTATCTACTCGTAGTGAGGGGAAACTGATGATGCACAACTGGTGGTATAAATTCAGAGTTTCAGGTGGTGATGGACATATGAAGAAAATGAACTGAGGTGACAAGGTGGGGGTGATGGGGTGAGGGTGAGGGGTGACCTTCGAGGGGTGACTTTCAAGGGGTGCTCAGGATAGGCCTTTCTGAGTTGCTGATGTAGAGCTGAGGCCTGACTATCCAGAAGGTGCCAGAACACCAGGTGCAGGTATTTCCAGGGCAAAGGTGAAGAGGCGGGAGCAACCTTGGCCTGTCCAAGGAAAGGAGAGTAGGACCTCTTAATTCAGAGTGGGGGGAGATCCCCTTTCAGTGGGATACCTCCTCCTACATGGGGATCCCGTGAAATTCAGGGAACCCCGACACCCAGTGGTGTCACAGACTCAGGGCCACGCTGTCCGAGGGGAGAGCTCGACATAGGGAGCCCGTCCTCTCACCAACTCTGTGACGCTGGGCAAGTTTCTGACTCTCTCTGGCCCTCAGTCTTCCTTTCTATAGAACGGGCATGATAACTCCTCTGGAGCGCTTGTTGAGAAGACGCAATGAGCAACACATGCGTAGTACGTGGGTGCTCATGTGCATATGGAAAGCATCAAAATCAGCAGAATCTATTCGTAAATATAGAAAGGCATCGGGGATGTCTGCGCTTCCTCTTGCTAAAGAAAGTCTATTTTCCAGGGGAAGGGCTTTTGGTGTGGCCTGACCCTTGACCTCTGCCCTCCACTGGGCAGCCATGGTGGACACTGTTGGCTGACATCTCATATCCTTCCACACTGCAGGCGCCGGTGGTCCTGAGCCGAGACCACCATGACGTGAGTGGCACAGACAGCCCCTTTAGGGAGACCTCCAACATTTACGATGGCTCTGCCTTCTGTGCAGGTGAGGAAGACAAAAAATTTAAAAAAAAAATTGTTAATATTGGATTTGGATTTTATTTAAAAATCACCTGATCCATTCAGTCAGTCATGATTTTGCAGAAAATGTGCTGGCGTCTAGAGGCCTGCGTGGGTCAGCAGCCCAGGACAGAGGGCTGTGGGACATGGAGCTTCTGCTTTTGAAACTGGGCCAGCGTCAGCCAAATGGGGACAGTTAGGTGCCCTAGACTTGAGTGTGCTTCTGGCCCTGGCACTTGCTGGGTGATCTTCAGCAAGGTGTTTAGTCTCTGAACCCCAATTTCCTCATCCAAATAGAAATAACAATAGTACCCGCCTCAAAGCGTTGTTATGAGAATGAAATGAGTTAATCCATGTGCAGCCTTACATCAGTGTCCCGCAGCCAGCGTTCAGTGAAGGCCAGCTGCCACTGCTGCTGCCACTGCTGCCGCTGCCACAACCACTCTACAGGCGACCTCAGATGTGTCGTGGGTTTGGTTCCAGAACACCACAATAAAGCGAGTCACACAAATATTTTGGTTTCCCAGTGCATATAAAAGTCCTATTTACACAATGCTAGAGTCTCTTAATAGAAATATGTCTGAAAAAAACAATGTACATACCCTAATTAAAAAAGACTTTATTGCTGCAAAATGCTAACCATCATCTGAGCCTTCAGCGAGTAATAAGCTTTTTGCTGATGGAGGGTCTTGCCTTGACCTTGATGGCTGCTGACTGAGCAGGCCGGTGGTTGCTGGAGCGGGGGGTGGTGGTTGTGGCAACTTCCTAAAGTAAGACGACAATGAAGTTTGCGGCACTGACTGACTCTTCGTTTCATGAACGATTTCTCTGCAGTGTGCGGTGCTGTTTGATGGCATCCTACCCACAGCAGAACTTCTTTCAAAATGGGAGTCAACCCTCTCAAACCCTGCTGCCACTTTATCGACTGAGTTTATGTAAATTCTAAATCCTTGTCCTTTCAACAGTCTTCCCAGCGTCTTCCCCAGGAGCAGATTCCATCTCAAGAAACCCCTTTCTCTGCTCATCCACAAGGAGCAGCTCCTCATCCGTTAGAGTTTGACCATGAGATTGCAGCACTCAGTCCCATCTTCAGGCTCCACATCTAATTCCAGTTCTCTTGCTGTTTCCACCACATCTGCAGTGACTTCCTCCACTGACGTCTTGAGCCCTCAAAGTCGTCCATGAGGGCTGGAGTCACCTTCCTCCAAACTCCCGTTCATGTTGATATTTTTGACCTCTCCCCATGAATCACAAATGTTCCTAATGGTGAACACTTTCCAGAAAGTTTTCAATTTACTTTGCCCAGATCCATCAGAGGAATCATTATCTATGGCAGCCATAGCCTTACAAAATGTATTTCTCAAATAGTAAGACTTGAAAGTTGAAGTTACTCCTTGGTCCATGGGCTGCAGAACGGATATTGTATGAGCAGGCATGAAAACAACAGTAATCTTACTGTGTGTCTCCATCAGAGCTCTTGGGTGACCAAGCGAACTATCAACAAGCAGTAGTATTTCAAAAAGAATCTTTTTTTTCTGAGTAGCAGGTCTCAACAGTGGGCTTAACATATTCAGTAAACCATGTTGTAGGGAGACGTGCTGCCATCCAGGCTTCGTTGTTCCATTTATAGAGCACAGGCTCTATAAAGTTCCATTTATAGAGTAGATTTAGCATAATTCCTGAGGGCCCTGGGATTTTTGGAATGATAAATGAGCACTATAGCCAGCCTTTTGTTCTAGTGGCTAAGATTTGGTGCTCTCCCTTATGTGGCCTGGGTATGTTTCCCGGTCAGGGAACCACACCATCCATCTGTTGGCTGTCATATTGTGGCAGCTGTGTGTTGCTGAAAGCTGTGCCACTGGGATTTCAAATACCAACAGGGTCACCCATGGTGGACAGTTTTCAGTGGAGCTTCCAGACTAGGAAGAAGGACCTGGCCATCCACTTCCGAAAAAATTGGCTCTGAAAACCCTGTGAATAGCAGTGGAGCATTGTCTGATCCAGCACCGGAAGATGAGAGGATGGTGCACAAAAGACCAGGCATGGTTCCACTTTGCTGTACACAGGGTCACTGGGAGTCAGAATCGACTCGAGGGCACTAACAAAAAAAGGGAGCATTGGCTTCAACTTAAAGTCGCCAGCTGCATTAGCCCCCAACAAGAGAGTCAGCCTGTCCTTTGAAGCTTTGAAGCCAGGCAGTGACTCCTCTCTAGCTGTGAACGTCCTAGATGGCATCCTCTTCCAATATGAGGCTGTTGTGTCTCTATCGCACACGTGTTGTTCAGCGTAGCCACCTGCATTAATATCTTACTTAGATCTTCCGGGTAACTTGCTGCGGCGTCTACATCAGCACGTGCTGCTTCGCCTTTTGTGTTATGGGCACAGCTTCTCTCCTTAAACCTCGTGGACCAGCCTCCGCTGGCTGGTTCTTCAAATTTTCTTCTGCAGCTTCCTCCTCTCTCAGCCTTCAGAGAATTGAAGAGAGTCAGGGCCTGGCTCTGGGTTAGGCTTTGGCTTAAGGGAATGTTGTGGCTGGTTTGGTCTTCTGTCCAGACCACTCACACTTTCTCCGTGTCAGCAATAAGGCTGTCTTGCTTTCCTATCATTCGTGTTCACTGGAGCAGCACTTTTAATTTCCTTCCAGAACTTTTCCTTTGCATTCACAGCAGGCTGACTGTTTGGTGCAAGAGGCCCAGCTTTCAGCCCATCCCAGCTTTCAACATGCCTTCCTCATGAAGCTCAGTCACTTCTAGGTTTCAATTTAAGGTGAGAGACGTGCCACTCTTCCTTTCACTTGAACACTCAGAGGCCATTGTAGGGCTGTTAATTGGCCTCATTTCAATATTGTTGTGTCTCAAGAAATAGGGAGCCCCAAGGAGGAGGAGAGAGAAGGGAAAAGGCTGGTCAGTGGAGCCGTCAGAACACACACAACGGTTATCAATTAAGTTCGCTGTCTTATATGAGCGTGGTTGGTGGTGCCCCAGACAATACAATAGTAACATCAAAGATCACTGATCGCAAATCACCATAACAAATATAATAATAATGAAATGTCTGAAATATCACGAGAATTAGCAAAATGTGACACAGATACAAAGTGAGCAAATGCTGTTGGAAAAATGGCTCTAACAGACCTGCTCAACTCAGGGTTGCCACAAACCTTCAATTTGTAAAAAACACAATCTGCAAAGTGCAATAAAATGAAGTATACCTGTAATTATTATAATCATCACAGAGACTAGCAGGTTTAGTTCTGGGGTAGCTTTCTCATTCCCAGCACATGAGGGCTGCTTCCATTATGGATGGGATCCCAAAGGAAGCAAGTAGACACTCAGGAACACCATCTGCATCACTTTATCAAGGAATTGGTCCATTTCATCTAAGTTTTTAAATTTATAGATATATAGTTGTATCGCTTTATTACCTTTTTCTTATGTACTTTTTTTTCCTTTTGGTGAGGAAGATTGGCCCTGAACTAACATCTGTGTCAATCTTCCTCTTTTTTGCTTGAGGAAGATTGGCCCTGAGCTAACATCTGTGCCAGTCTTCCTCTAGTTTATGTGGAATGCCACCACGGCATGGCTTGACAAGCAGAGTTTAGGTCCACGCCCAGGATCTGAACCTGCGAACCTGGGCCACCAAAGCAGAGTACCCAAACTTAACCACTATGCCACCAGGCTAGCCTCACCTTTATTATCTTTTTAATGTCTGTGGGTTCAGTTGTGATGTCCCATTTTTCATTCTGTTTTTTTTTTTAAATTCTTCTCCCCAAAGCCCCCCAGTATAATTGTAGATTCTAGTTGTGAGTGCCTCTGGTTGTGCTATGTGGGACGCTGCCTCATCGTGGCCTGATGAGTGGTGCCATGTCTGCGCCCAGGATTCGAACTGGTGAAACCCTGGGCCGCCGAAGTGGAGCACACGAACTTAACCACTTGGCCACAGGGCTGGCCCCTCATTCTTGATATTGGTCATTTGTGTCTTCTCTCTTTTTCCTTGGTCAGTCTGGTTAGAAGTTTATCATTTTTATTGGTCTTTCAGAAAAGAAGTTTTTAGTTTAATTGACTTTTTCCCTGTTGCTTTCTGCTTCCAAATTTGTTGATTTCTGCTCTAATTTTTAGTGTGTTCTTCCTTCTCTTTGCTTTGGGTTTAATTGGCTCTTCTTTCTCTGGTTTCATAACATGGAAGCTGAAGTTACTGATTTGAGACCTTTTTTTTCCTTTTCTGATTTAACTATTTAAGCTATAAATTTCCCTCTAAAATGCTGCTTTAGCTGAATCCTAGAAATTTTCATATAATGTAGTTTCATTTTTATTCATTTCAAAATATTTTAAAATTTCCTTTGAGATTTCCTCTTGGACCCATGGGTTATTTAGAAGTATCTTTTTAAATTTCCAAGTTTGGGGAGATTTTTCAGATATCTTCCTGTTATGACCTCTGGTTTAATTGCATTATGGTCTGAGAACTTACTTTGTATTGGCTCTGTTCTTTTAAATTTATTAAGGATTGTTTTGTGGCCCAGAATGTGGTCTGTGTGGGTGCACTTGAGAAGAACATGTATCCTGCTCTTAGCTGGTGGGTTCTAAACATCAAGTAGGTCAGGCTGGTTGATATGCTGCTCTGGTCCTCTGGGTCCTTACTGATTTCCTGCCTACGTGTTCTACAACTTACTGAGAGAGGAGTGGTGAAGTCTGCAACTCTATTTGAGGGTTTGTCTGTTTCTCCTTTCAGTTCTTATCAATTTTTGCCTTGTGTTTTAGGTACACACTCATTTAGGTTTATTGTGTCTTCTTAGAGAATTGACTTCTTTATCATTATGTAATGTCCCTCTTCGTCCCTGATATTATTCCTTGTTCTGAAATTCTCTGATGCTAATATAGTTTGTAGTCATATCTGTGGCCCTGTAACAAATCACCACAAACTCAGTGGCTTAAAACAACACAGCTGTGTTCTCCCGCAGTTCTGATGCTCAGAAGTCTGAAGCCAGTCTCAGTGGGCTAAGGTCAAGGTACTGGCAGGGCCCTGACCCTAGGAGGCCCTGGGGGAGAGCCTCTTTCCAGCCTCTTCCAGATGCTCGAGCTGCACTTCTTGCCTCTCACAGCCCAGCACCAGGGGGGAGCATGATCAGGACTGTCCCTTATCAGTAGGGTTTTTGGCGGAAGACCCTGCCAGAGGGTGCAACCCCTCCCTATATCTGTGTCTCCAGGGGCTTCACAGGCTCAGGCTGGCTCACACCCGTCCTTCAGCGATCTGTCAGACCCTTGTAAGGCAACCAGCTTGGGTTCTGCTTGTCTGTGCAAGTGCCTGTGTCTCCCCAGATTTCAGGTCAGTTGGTTGCCGTGGGCCCTCAGCTCTCTGATGGGGTCAGGAAAAGTCATTAATTTGCAGTTCATGCCCCACCTTGTTGTTTTAAGAGTGGGAGTGACACTCTGGCTGTCTGCATCTCTGAGCTGAAACTGCCACCACGTCCCTTTTTGTTCTTGTGTTCTTCCTGCCTCTGGAGCCCTTTATCTGGCATTCGGTGCTAGAGAGCTTAGCCACAGGGAAGCCAGTTTGGCCTTTGTCAGTTCCTCCTGTCTTCGCTGGCTCTGCAAACATAAATTATTGCTATTTCTAGACTTGCTTATCCCAGTTCTCTATCTGTCCTTTAGGCCCGAGCGACGCTGGCTAGCCAGTGGGGCCTGCGGACGCCCACTGTGCATCCACCCCGGCCGCCTCGCTCAGGCCTGACGGGTGGCCTCTGTCTCCACAGACATGGCTGTGCAGAACTTCGTGGGAGACGCCTTTCGTGGTGCCACCTGGGTGGCTCTTCACAACGGCGGGGGCGTCGGCTGGTAAGAAGGCTTCAGAGCCCCGGGATGTGGGGACCGTGGCACCTCCCTCAAGGGTCCCAGGCCCCGCCTCCGCTGAGCTCCGTCTGCTCAAGGCTTTGCTGTTACGTGTTCCTTCTGTGGGATGGAAACTGGAGGGCATGGGGGCGCCTCATCCAAGCCACTCTACCTTTGGGGTCACACCTGACATGAAGGCCTGTTGTGATGCTGTCAGAGCAGCAACTGCCCTTTCGTGTCAGTTTCCATGATGCTTTCAAAGATGTTTTCTCAGGAATCCTCAGTGCTGTCCCGGCCCAGGTCTTTGCATTCCACCCAAAGTTCCCAGGGTGGCTGATCTGGAAGGCACGAGATCTGGATTCTGGGCTCCCTTGGGTCCCAGCCCACGGCTTTGTCCTGCAGGCCTGTTTCCAGTCTGTGCCATGGGGAAATTGCAGTTTCTGGAAGGGTCTCATTTGGCTGACAGTCACAGTTCCATTGTGAAGATGTCCACTATAATTCTGCACCCCTAATTCCAACATGTGGGAGTTCTCCTCGCCCCACCAAGCTCTTCTCCAGGACCCTCTGGGTGTCCTACAATTCAGCTCACTTCTGGCACTGTCTACTGGAGATAGTATCAGATCCACAGATTAAGGGCTCAGTCCCACAAGGCTGCCTGCACTTCAGATGCCAATGGCAAGTCCACGATGTCACCTGTGCTCCTATAGACCAGAGGTTCCCAGGACCCCCTCCTTGAGTTCCATCCATTTGCTAGAGCAGCTCACAGAACTAAGGAAACCCATTTACTTGCTAGATTACTGATTTATTACAAAGGATGTTAAAGGGTACGAACCAGCAGCAGATAAGGGATACACAGGGTGAAGTCCCAAGCAAAGGAGCTCTGTCCCTGTGGTATTTGGGGCCCGACACAGTGGCATGTGGAAGCATCTGGTTCCCCAACCTGGAAGCTCTCTGAACCCCGTCCTTTTGGGTTTTATGGAGGCTTCATTACATAGGAACGATTGATTAAATTGTTGACCATTGGGGATTGATCCAACCTCCAGCCCCTCTCCCCTCCCTGCAGGTCAGGGGGTGGGACTGAAAGTTCAACCCCCTAACCATGTGGTTGGTTCCCCTGGCAACCAGCCCGCATCCTCAGGTGCTTTCCAAAAGTCACCTCATTAACATAACAAGAGACACCTTTATAGCCCTTATCACTTAGCAAGTGTCAAGGGTTTTAGGAGCTCTGTGCCAGAGACAGGGACGAAGACCACATACATGTTGATTGTTACAAGTCACAATATCACATCCACTGCTAAGAGTAGTGAATAACTAATGTTTATTGCACGTGGACCATGTGGCAAGCATTTGCTAAACTCTTTGAATCCACTCTCTCACCTAATCTTAGAAGGAAAATACATTCTACAGATGAGGAAACTGAGGCACTGGGAGGTTAATGAGCTGCACCTGTGCAGGGCCACCTCTGTGGGGAGTCTCTTGGGGGAAGCTCCCCGGTCTGGGCTCCCAGGCAGCTGGATCCCTGGCTACTCCCAGCAGCAGAGGGTGCTGTGGCTTCGGAGAGAAGGACAGCTGCCCAGGCTGGCCGCCTCTGACCCGGCCTCCGAGCCCAGCCTGGCCTTGCCGTCCAGAGCCAGGTCCTTCAGCACCGGAGCTTCCCAGAGCATTCCAATGGGCTGGCTGGCCCTTGGGCCCTTCCAGGCCAGAGTTCCGAGCTGCAGCCCAGGCCGGTGGCTCTAATTAACGGAAAATGTGACTAGAGAGCTGTTCTTTCGGATACACAGCCTGGAGAAAACCAGGGTGCAATGTTCCCGGCACACTGGGTTCTTGTCCCCAGGATGGGAATCCAGAGAGACAACAAACCGGGGTAGAAAAGTAAAAGCTGGTTAGTTGGTGCAAGGAGAGGCAGCAGGGAGCCTCATGTTCAGAGAGGCAGGCAGGTGGCAGCCCAGTGTGCTCATGGACCTTTGGACCATGGGCTGCAGAGCAGGAGAGGTCAGTGGCCAGTCTCTGGTCTTGGGCTGGTTGGACAGCTCAGTAAAGACCCTCTGGTCTCCTTTCCTTATAGAGGGTGTAGCCATTTCTGGGAGCTGAGTGGGAAGGACAGGTCCTCACTGTTGGGTGTTGAGACTTCTCCTCAATCCCTGTATGTTTTTTTTTTTCCTTTCTTTCTTTCTTTTTTTTTTTTTTGAGGAAGATTGGCCCTGAGCTAATATCTGCCACCAATCCTTCTCTTTTTGCTGAGGAAGACTGGCCCTAAGCTAACATCCATGCCCATCTTTCTGTACTTTATATGTGGGACGCCTGCCACAGGTGGCTTGATGGGCGGCATGTAGGTCCGCACCCGGGATCTGAACTGACAAACCCCAGGCCACCAAAGCAGAATGTGTGAACTTAACCATTGCACCACCAGGCCGGCCCCAATCCCTGTGTTTTCATATCCATGGTCTCACTTTCAGATGTGCCTTCTGCCCTCACACCCAGATCCAGCCCAGGGGACCTATGTCTTTGAGGAATAAAGGCATATATTTGATCCACCATCTTTACTGGATGCTAACCTTTTTTTCACCAAACAATGTCTTAGAGCCATCTCAAACTTGAATGTGCATAGGAGACCCCTGGGAGCTCATGAAGATGCTGATTCTGACTAGCAGGTCTGGAGTGGGGCAGAGATTCAGCAGAGCTCACTCGCTCCCAGGTCGTGCTGCTTCTGCTGGCCAGGGGACCCCTCCACTCTGCGTAGCCAGGCTCCGAGGGCTCTGGTGTCTGTGCACAGCCCTCTCCTTGAGGCTCCCCCTGCACTGTTCAGGAGGAGCATCTTCGTAGGGACCGTTTTGTGGCACAATTAAGAGCATGGATTCTGAGGTGGATCTGTCTGCATGAGTTAAGCTTGTTCAGCTTTGTTTCTCATTGACAAAAGGGTCATAATAACAGCTGCTCCTTTGTAAGCTAGTGGTGCAGATTAAATGAGTTAATAATAATAGCTAACGTGTACGTAGTGCATAATGTGTGAGGCCTTCTTCTAAGAAATGTACATATGTTAGCTCGTCTATTTGCCGTAACAGTCCCATCTAAGACATAGTGCTGCCCGGGAGGGGTCAGTGACTTGGCCCAGGGTTCACAGCCAGCAGGGCTTGCAGGAGGGCTGGCCCGCACGCATGCGCTCACCACCGCGAGTCACTCGTAAAGGAGCCAGAACAGGCCCGGCACGCAGCACACCTCCCGTAAGTGTTAACCTTCATTGTGTGCGAGGTATTTGTGATTGCAGGCTCAAAAAGTGTGGGCAAAATTTTTGGGCCGGGCCCCATGGCTGAGCAGTTCAAGCCCCGTGCGCCTTGCTTCAGCAGCCGGGTGCACAGGTTCAGAGCCTGGGCGCGGACCCACTCCACTCACCAGCTAAGCTGTGGAGGCAACGCACACACACAAAAGGGAGGAGAATTGGCACAGATGTTAGCTCAGGGTTGAATCTTCTTCAGTAAAAAAAAAAAAAAAAAAAAAAGTGTGGGCATTTTAAACTTGGCAGCTGCGGCAGTTTCTCTAGATAAAAATCCCTGTTTGCATAACCTCATCTCCCTGGATGTTGCCGCCCACTGGATGTTGACGCGGGATCTGCCAGGCTGGTCAGCAAGAAGTAACAAATCCTTTTTGTTTTGGTTTGAATTTTCCACTCCCAGGTTTTTGTTTTTGAGTCGTGTGCTTTTCCTTATCGATTTGCAGATGTCCTTGATCTATTCTAGGTCTCAGATGCACAGATTGCTGCCTGTCACCTGTCTTTGAACTTTGTTTAAAGTAACCGGCTTGTTGGCTTCTCCAGGAGGCAGACGCTGAGGTCGAGTTGGGAGTGTGCAAAAGGCTTAGAGGGGAGGACCACCTGGGAAAGGAAGAGGGGCAGGACAGGTTGGGGGGCCCTCAGTCTCCATGCAGACCCCACAGTTTTGCTGCCCAGTGTGAGTTCCAGGGCCCAGATGGCCACTGGAGGAGCCTGCACCAGGCAGAAAGGGGTGGGCTCCATGCACAGCATCGCTCAGCCTCCGCCTGAGAAGGACCCTGAGGAGCTATCACGGGGGCTGTGAGTGGACTGCCTTCCCGGCAGGGCTTTCTGGGCAAAGTGCCTGGACCGGCCTCCTCTCCCACAGGGCAGCTTCACATCTTTGTCCAGTGACTTGTCTCTTCCGGCTCTTTGCTTTTTTAAATGTTGCTTTAAAAGACCTCCATTCTTTTCTTTTTTTTTTTTTTTGAGGAAGACTGGCCCTGAGCCAACATCCATGCCCATCTTCCTCTCTTTTGTATGTGGGATGCTACCACAACATGGCTTGATGTGCGGTGTGTAGGTTAGCACCTGGGATCTGAACCAGTGAACCCTGGGCCACCGAAGCGGAGCACATGAACTTAGCCGCTCGGCCATGGGGCCGGCCCTGACCTCCTCCATTCTTGAGTTAAGAAAAAACAGGCAACTAAAGTTGCTTTATTCATCCTATAATTTTGAGTATTCCTTTCTTTAGTGCACCTGGCACTCATCTTCTCCCTGTGTGATGTAGGCCCCTGCTTTCATGTTTTTCTCAAGAGGGACAGTTGGTTGTCCCCACTGTCTGTGCGTGGCCCAAGGGCTCCACTGAGAGCAGTGCTGCCTTTCTCTTCATCCCATCTTTCCATGCTCAGTGTGCTCCGGCTCCTCCCTGGTGGGGTTTGCTGAGGTCACTGGAGCTGAGTAGCTTTGCTCTCAACTGGGCTTCAGACTCCCAAAACAAAAGATGTAGTACTAATTTCCAAAACCCCTCTCTGGTCAAAGATCGCATCAGGTCCTCGCTTGGTGCCTGTGGCTGCTGCCTGCTTTCCCCTCTGATACCTACCATCAGCCTCTGACTGGTGAATGGTGATGACCTTAAGTCTATTCAAAGCAGCCTCCACCCTGGAGGCTGGTGGGAGACGGGATGGGAGCTGGCTCACAGGCAGAGGGGTTGCCAGTTGCAGGAATACAGGCTGAGGGCAGGCAGGGGCAGCTGGCCTGCTTACAAGAGGTGCTCAGCTTACATGCCCAGAGTGGGGAACGCTGATGGCTCCTGGGACAGAGGCCTCAGCCTTCTTGGTGGGAACTGGCTAAAGTTGTCAATAAGGTCCAGGCTGGGCAGAGAAGCAGGTAAGGCCAGACGGGCCTGAGGATGTGAGACTAGAGAAACTAGAGGCACAGTTGCACCTTTTGGGGGCAGGAGAAGAAAGAGCAAATTCCCTGGAAGTGAGGACTGGAAGGCGAGATGCTGTGGTCCCAGGGGCTTGTGTTCGGCAGTACAGCCCTGGCAGGTGCTGACAAGATCCAGGCATTTCCAGTGCGTGTAACTGAAGGAGGCACAAGGGATGTAGGAATGTGAGCTGAGCAGGAACCGAGGCCGGGTCCAGCATCCAGGTCCAGCAGCCCTTGATAATGATGTTGAGGGCGAGGATGGATCCAGGGGCTCCAGGAGGAGAAGGACCTCATAGCTGATGGAGACAAACCTGGGGACAAACATGTGGAAACTGGAGTAGCAGTAATATCTTCAGTGGGATTCAAATGCCATCTATGAAGAAATGAATGACCACAAAAACATATTGACCTGTGAGAGGAGGTAGTGAAAACAGTACTCAGAGAAATGCACTAATTAGAAAACAAGAAATACTGCAAATAAGGGAACTCAGCCTTCACATCAAGTGATCAGGATCCCAAAATACACCTAAAGTTGTAGCAGAAAGAAGGGGTAAGGAAGATCGGGAGCACAGAGGGAAAGCCAGGGGCGTGGAAGAAGGACAATTGAATTGAGCCATACAAGAGACCCCTATAAAGAAAGCGCACCTTTATAGGAAGCACTCTGAGAACCGCAGGAGAGGGAGGTCACGTTGCCTCCGGGAGGTGACACAGGAATGGGTCCTGAAGGTGGGCGCAGGGCCAAGCCGGTGAAGCACAGAGGCATGAATGGGCAGTGCAGAGCCATGGGACGCCTGCATCCCCGAGGCTGTGGAGAGGGTGCCGGCTCCAGGCTGCAGGGCCCACTGTGCCACCTCCTCAAGCCAACGCTTCCAAAACGTTCCAAGCTGTGCTCTGCCTGCTCCAGCAGGGTCAGGGCCCAGAGTGACCTTTGCTTCTTGCAGGGGTGAGGCGATCAACGGGGGATTTGGCCTTGTGCTGGACGGGACCCAGGAAGCTGAGCAGAAGGCCAAGATGATGCTCACCTGGGACGTCTCCAACGGAGTAAGGCACAGCTCTCCAGGGCTGTTTCCAGAGTCTCCTTTGTATCCCTTGCCTCTGTCCTCACAGGGCCCCAGGGTCCCAACCCTTCCCTCCCAGTGAGATCATGCCCACTGCTGGTGCTGAGAGGCCTCCTTTTAAAGCGCTAGCTTCCCACCATCTCTGAAGGTGGGTCAGATGCAGCTTCTTAAGCTAGTGCAGCTATAACCTACTTTGCTCCATGCAGTCTTCTCTTGGTGTGCGTGGGGAGGGGGCGCTCCATCCCTCCCCATGGCAACATCACAGTCTGCCAAGGAGGAAGCGGCACAAATGGGAAGTCAGGTGGTAATGGGGAAGGGTCTGTGTGGACCTGAGCAAAATAGGGAGGAGGGCTTGGGGAGCTGAGTGCAAGGGCCCAGAGTGTGATGTGTGACGTTGGGTGGCCCAGAGGGTGAACTTGAGAGTGGAGCATCGAGGGGTCCCTGGGGGGGCCGACTTTCCAGGAGCCCCCAACAGGGGTGGTGGTCTTCATCCTGAAGGCAGTGAAGCAGTGAGAGAATGGATGGGGGAGTTGTGGGGGGGACATGGTTAGCAAGGAGACGGAGGAGGTACCATGGCTGTCATCCGCGTGAGCCCTGATGACAGAGATGGAGAGAAGGAAGCTGACCAGAGAGAGAGTTTAAGGCAGAGCCAAGGCTGATGTGTATTCTATGAGGATGGAGCCGAGGGGTGCTGAGGATGAGTCCTGGTGCCTAGCTTGGAGCCCCTGCGTGGAAATGGGGTAGGCTGGGTGGAAGGGTGGCCGGTTTCAGATCAGAGGAGTGGGCAAATCAGAAGTCTGGCCAAGAGAGGAGGAGGGGGTCTGAGCCAGGGGTAGGGATGGGGCAGATGCAAAGGACTGCTGACCCTACCGATAGCACAGAGGGTCCCTGATGTGCAGGAGGGCAGGAGGTTTGGAACCAAGTCGCAGTGTGTCCAGAATACCTTGTTGGGAACCGGGTGATGTTGGTACCACCTGCTGCACCGCCTTCTCTCTGTCTTCCTGGCAGGTGGCCCGCCGCTGTTGGTCCGGGAACCAGAAGGCCTATGAGATCATCTGCCAGACCATGCAAGAGAACAATGGCTTGGTGGTGACACTCCCGCATGAGGTGGCTGATGAGCATGTGCTCCAGCAGGCCCTGCAGTCGTGAGCAGAAATCCAAGAGCCAGCCATGGTCCCCTTGTCCCCCTGGTCCCCTTCATCACTCTCACAGCCACACCACACCTCCTACCACACACCATTGTCTCCTGGGTCAGGAGTTTCACACACACGCCCTCATTTGGCCTCACAACACCCTGGAAGGTGTGCCGCTACTGTTCCCATTTTTCAGATGGGTCAGCTGAGGCCCAGGGAGGTGGAGCCATTTGCCCACGACCACAGGGAATGCTTGGAGGGCAGTGAAAGCCTTGTTCAAGGCTGACTCCTCAAGTCTGCCATGGAGCAGGCTCCAGGAGCCTTGGGGGATACGCGTGCTGTGAATACTGGCTGAGCAGGTGCCAGCCGAGTCCCTCTAAACTCCTGCCAGCCCTTCTCCTACAAGGGGCAGGGTTTCCTTTGGCCAGGCTTTTATCGGTCTCTCTGTCTCCTGTCTGCCCTCCATTCATCCACGCAGCTATCTTTTCATCTGCTGGCCCATCCATTTGTCTATGCAGGTACTTTCTGTACCTCGGTGCCCTGGCTCTGGGCACGAAGGAGCATGACCAGGCCCTGGGCTTGGAGGAATCCAGGGAGGATGACAGACAGGGAAATAAAGAATTGACCAGAGAGCTGTGTCAGGTGTCGTGGGCAGGGGGGACACGGGGTGGCGGGTGGGGGACAGGCAGGGCTCTGTGCTAAAGGATAAGTGATGGTTTCTTGAGAGGAAAAGGAGAGAGGAAGGGCCTCCTGGCAGGCGGCAAAACACAAAGCACAAGAACATGCAGCCTGGTCACTCATGACACAGAAGTCCACTCAGGGGCCGCTTTAGGGGAACGTGCCCTGCAGGAGCCATGGGGGCCTGAGGCCAGATTCCTGCTCCTGCCCCCAGATCCGAGTCCAGCCTTAGATGCGGAGCCCCAGGCAAAGGCAATTCTGTGGCCATGCTTTTCCAGACCTTCATTCTGAAGCAGGCACTTCTTTTTTCAAGGGTTCCCACTTTTAGGGCCCCCTCCTGCCTCCCTGACCCTTGGTTGCTTGAGGCCTCCTCCCTTTGGGGTGTTGCTTGCTTGGGAGTGGATGGCATTCCCCATGTGACTGTCCAACCCTGGAGCTGAGCCTAGGGCAGAGGAGAGCACAGGTGGCAGTGGGGTGGGGGTGGCAGAGAGTGGGGAAGAAAGACTCCAAAGAGAGCGCTGTGCTCTGGCCCCAGAGGAGGGCATGCCAGGCAACGACATTTGTCTTCTCTGGTGCAAGCAGTGGGACCTGGGCCAAACCCTTTGCCTTCCCCAGAAGATGCCCCTTTGGGGAGGTATCTTCAGCTCCTCCCTCCAATCCAGGACAGATCTGGCACCACCCTGCTGTAGGACCAGGCCTGGGAGCCGGGTGGGGTGGGGGCACTGGGGTTACTGCTTCCCTGTCCTTAGTAGCCAGTGAGATGGGCCCTTTCCTTTGTAATTAATTAGGCTTTAGAAATGAAACACCAAGCCTCAGATAAAACTTGATTTACTTAAGTCCGATACTAATAGAGAAGGATTATGGAGGCCAAAAGTTGCTTTCTGGAATCTCAGTGTGTGAGTATGTGTTTCTTTATTTCTCCTAAATCAAGGGGTGGATGTGGGGGCCAGGCAGACCTTAGCTCTCTCCTAAGCCTGGCTGCCAGGACCTCCTGGCAACCTTGGCCTCTCTGAGCCTCAGCTGTGTGACAGTAACACCTGCATCACAGTTGAGGGAGGACGTGGCTCTGCTTTCCTCTCCCAACTTATATAAAGGAGCCAGATGGAGAGACGAGTTCCTGCCCCTCTCATTCCCCCCGGCTGTCAGGACCTGCTCCCTTCCCTGTAAACAGACAGGGCCACGCAGGGAGTCAGGCAGCAGCTCAGTAGCTCCTGGCTTCAGCTCAGTCCCAGGCGGGGCCCATGGCAGACTCAAAAATGACTCATCCTAAACAAAGAATTGAGAAAGAGAGTGGGGACAGGTCTCTAAGGAGCCACAGAAAACCTGACACGCAACCGCCGTCCACATCTGCAGGGAGAGGGCCAGTCAAGCTGGGTTCTGAGTCCTCTTTCCTCTGCCTTTTGTGCTATTGAGGCCCTCAACAGGTTGCACGATGCCCACCTACTTTGGGGAGGGCCGTCTGCGTGCGTTACTGAGCCCACCCATTCAGATGTTAATCTCATCTGGAAACACTCTCAGAGACACACTGAGAAACGACGTTTAAAATGGCCCACTCAAGGGCCGGCCCGGTGGCGCAGCGGTTAAGTTCGCACGTGCCGCTTCTTGGCAGCCCGGGGTTCGCCGGTTCGGATCCCGGGTGCGGACATGGCACTGCTTGGCACGCCATGCTGTGGTAGGCATCCCACATGTAAAGTAGAGGAAGATGGGCACGATGTTAGCTCAGGGCCAGGCTTCCTCAGCAAAAAGAGGAGGACTGGCAGTAGTTAGCTCAGGGCTAGTCTTCCTCAAAAAAAAAAAAAAAAAATGAAAAAAAGAAAATGGTCCACTCAAATTGACGTGTAAAATTTCCAAAAGGGCCTGACTGAGGCCGATGAGCATGCATTGTATATCTGCTTTAGAGATTCCCTATGGCAAGAGCAAAGGCCCTTGAGATAAAGGTGCAGCTTCCCTCCCCCTCCCAACGTTGGCATTCCCCTAAGGATTAAGCATCTTTCCTTAGGCTAGGAACTGATTGCTGTGCTCACCTGTGACCACCCAGCTCCAGACAATAGACTTGCTTCCTGCTACGCCCACTGAGACAGCAGACCCACTACCTGCTGTGTCCATCAACTGCCGACAGGGCAATCTTGTGACTATTGTGGGAGGGACATTTCAATCATGTGTGAAACATTCTGTATGGGGGTATATAACCACTCTATACACCTCACTTCTTTGGTGCTCTTTCTTCTTTCAGGAAGAAAGGCCCCAGACCATGGTCCTCAGATTTTAGCTCAGAATAAACTCTTCCAAATTTCCATTTATAGATTGGTTATGGATTATTTTCGTCGACAAAACATATATTTCAATCTTCATCCCCCTTTCTGGCATGGAGCTCCTAATACCCTTGGAATTTCCTAAGTGATGAGAGTGATAAAGGTGTTTTGATATTCGTAACAAACTCCATCCAATCACACCTGAGTTTATGTTAATGAGGTGACTTGGAAAGCTCTCCGGGGTGGGGGTTGGTTGCCAGGGGAACCAACCCTGTGATTTGAGGTTTGTAACTTTCAGACCCACCTAGTGACCTACTGGTCAATGATTGTCAGTCCTGCCTGTGTAATGAAGCCTCCATAACAGCTCCAAACCCAGAGGGGTTCGGAGAGCTTCCAGGTTGGTGAACGTGGAGATTTGGGGAGAGTGGCACTTGAAGAGCATGGAAGCCCCATGCCTTTCCCCAGACCTTGCCTCATGCATCTCTTCCATCTGGCTGTTCCTGAGTTATATCCTTTTATAATAAACTGGTAAATCTAGTGAGTAAACTGTTCCCCTGGGTTCTGTGAGACCCTTGAGCAAATTAATCCAACTGGAGGAGGGGGTTATGGGAACCTCCCGTCTATTGCCCATCACTCAGAAGCAGAGGTGACAACCTGAACTTCCAACTGGCATCTGAAGGAGGGGGCAGTCTGGTGGGACTGAGCCTGTGGGACCTGAAGCTATCTCCAGGTAGACAATGTCAGAACTGAGTTAACTGCTTGGTGATATTGTGAAAAAAACCCACACATTAGAACTGCTAACCCCAGCCCAGGCCCAGTCCCGCCAGACTTTGGGAAGTCCTGCATACTTAGATTGGCAGTTCAAAGTCCACTGTGATGCCTTTCAGCCCGTTGGCTGTGCTGGACACCCAGCAACATCCGGGCTGGTGGGATTTCTCCCCAAATGCAAACAAGTCCGACAAGCACATGTGTGTTATCTGCTTCTCTTCCCCTGGCTGCCCCAAACCACTTTCTCTACACACTTGTTGGAGAGTACGGGTTCTGGGTGACTGAGGGCTATCAGTCAGTGCTCTGTGGGCCTCCTGATGTGGGGGGAATCTCTTTAGAATATCAAATTCCTGCTTCTGCCTGAGACACCACTGAAGAATGACAACAGCAATGCTTCAAGCCCAGCACGCAAGTGAGCACATCTGCCCCTCACTGAAAACCCTGTTACTTGTTGCAGCAACAGAGAGCCCAGGGTGGTAGGAAGGGCAAGACAAGTCCTTTCCAAACGTTCGGTGAGGCTCATTTCACCCACTTAAAATTTTTAAAAAATACGTAAAAGCTGAAAAACAGGTGAGGAGAAACTCATCCATAGGGCCACCAAATGTTTTTCATTCAAAGTTTTTTCTTTTATTATGGTAAAATACACATGAAATAAAATGTACATTTTAACCTTTTTTTTTTTTTTTTTGGTGAGGAAGATTGTCCCTGAGCTAACATCCATGCCAATCTTCCTCTATTTTGTATGTGGGATGCTGCCACAGCATGTCTTGATGAGCGGTGTGTTGGTCTGTTCTGTGGATCCCAACCAATAGCCCTGAGCCACCGAAGTGCAGAGCATGAACTTAACCACTACACCACTGGGCCGGCCCCCACTGTAACCATTTTTAAGCATGCAGTTCAGTGGCATTAAGCACATTCACATTGTTATTGAACTATCACCATCATGCATCTCCAGAACTCTTTGCATCTTCCCAAAGTGGAACTCTGTGTTCATGAACCACTAACTCCCCAGCCGCCCCCTGCCCCCAGCTCCCGCAGCCCCTGTCCTACTTTCTATGATTTTGACTACTCTAGGGACCTCATGTAAGTGAGATCATACAATATTTGTCCTTTTGTGACTGGCTTATTTCACTGCATAATCTCCTCGAGGTTCATCCATGTTGTCATATGTGTCAGAATTTCGTTCCTTTTTAAGGCTGAACAATATTACTTTGTATCCTTCAACCACATTTTGCTTATCCAGTCATCTTTTGATGGGCGCTTGGCTTGCTTCCACCTCTTGGCTATTGTGAATAATGCTGCTATGGACATGGATGTGCAAATACCTCTTCGAGTCGCTGTTTTCAATTCTTTTGGATTTATACCCAGAAGTGGAATTGCTGGGTCATGTGGTAATTCTATGTTTAGTTTCTGGAGGAGCTGCCATACTGTTTCCCTAGTGGAAAAAAGTATTTAATTATAAAAATTACTTTAAAAACACTCATGATCTTTATCTCTTGCCACACTCTTGCCACACTCATGATCCCCCTCACTTCAGAAGCAGACGCAGGGACTACAGTTTCTTATGTATCTCTCCAGGAACTTTCTAAGACATGCGAGTATGTCAACATATGTGTAGTTTTCCCTCCTATACAATCGGGATCCTCCTCAACAATGTTCTGCATTGATTTTTCCTAACAATATATTCTTAGTGGAGACATACGGAGCATAAAAGTCATTGTATTAAAGCGTACTAGTCAGTGGTTTTTAGTCTCCTCACTGTGTTGTGTACCCGTCACCACTGTCTAACTCCAGGACATTTCCTCCATCCCAAAAAGAAACCTTGTAGCTATTAGCAGTCATTCCTAATTCCCCCTCTCCCTCTGTCCTCTGGCAACCACTAATCTATTTTCTGCCTCTATGGATTTACCTATTCTGGACATTTCATATGGA